TTACCTCGCACTAAGCTTCTCAGGAGAAGTTTTAATAGTGAACATAACTGCACCTCATGTAAAGATCACATGTTTGGTGACGGTCAGTCTCCCTCTGCACTGTTGGACAGAGACAGTGTTGTCTTTGTCTTTGGTTTCTGAACAATCAACAGGAGAATTTATTACATGTTGAAAACTTAGAGTTATGAGGGAAAACCGCAAGAAAATACCTTTATTTACATTTTCTCACTTCACTAACAATATTTAATGGTTATATAATGTAATTTTATTCAGTTTAATTTAGTTTTATCTGTCTGTTTGTCTCTGAGTTATCGTTATAGACTTGCTGACATGGTATATTACAATGTTTAAAAAGAAAACAAAAATCTGAGCGGTGTGTCCTGGTCTTCTTCCCCCAGGCGAACACAGACCAGCCTGGACCACAGTTCCATGTTGTTCTGGGGAACGAGTCCTGTGATGTGGACTCCATGGTGTCCGCGCTGGCCTTCGCCTACTTCCTGTCCAAGGTGAGACCTGGGGTCATTGAACTCAGAGACACCTGGAATCACTTGTTTGTATTGTGTAAAAGCTTCAGATGATGAGTCTGTAATAGAAGCCAATAGAAAACACTTCCTGTTGTTTTTGTCAACATTAAAAGTAAAAGCCAGGAAGACTTTTAATGTGAAGGTTCTGGAGGAAGTGTTGAGTTTGATTCAGTCAGAGTGAAGTCCTGTCATGACTGTGCTGTTGAAGTGAGGAGTGAGAGTGAATGAGGACGACAGGTGAACTCTCAGGTAGATAAACACCCCGTTTAGGACCTGGAGGTGAAGCTGTGACATCACAACCACCGTCACTACACACGTCAGAGGGAATCAATCAATAATTAATGTGTAGAGCTGATAATCAAACAGACTGTTAACAGAAATAATGGATCCAATCAGTCAATCACTCACATTCATTTTATAAATGATGCTGTAAAAATAAACAGGATCATTCTTAATGATGCTGTTGTCTCTCTCTCTCTGTCTCTCTCTGTCTCTCTCTCTCTGTCTCTCTCTCTCTTTCTCTGTCTCTCTCTCTGTCTCTCTCTCTCTTTCTCTGTCTCTGTCTCTCTTCTCTGCATCTCGAAAGAGCAGCTAGCAGAAAGAGCAATTTAGCTGTCTTCTCTGTTTCTCACTGTCTCTCCTCTAGACTCTTTGCTCTGTTCTCTCTCTCTCTCTGTCTCTCTCTCTTTCTCTCTCTCTCTCTTTCTCTGTCTCTCTCTCTCTCTCTCTCTCTCTCTCTCTCTCAGACTGAGCTCAGTGACGTGCTCGCTCTCCCTCTGTTGAACATCCATCAGTCCGACTTGCTGCTGCGCTCAGACAACCTGTTCCTGCTGCGACAGACCGGTCTGTCTCCAGACCTCCTGCTCTTCAGAGACCAGCTGGACCTGCGAGCCCTGCAGAGAGCCGGCCGCCTGCGGCTGACGCTGGTCGACCACAACGTCCTGGCCAGGTACAAACACCTGACAGGTAGAGACTAACACATGACAGGTGAACTTTAACACCTGACGGGTATGAATGCTAACCTGCACAGGTAGTCTTATCCATGTATACCTCAGGCTGGTTCCTCAGGTAGGTGTCGGGTGGATGAGCACACCTGTCTCTCTCTCCTGCAGTGCAGACAGTGACCTGGAGGGGGCGGTGGTGGAGGTGATCGACCATCACCTGTTGGAGAGAGAGCCCTCTCCCTCCTGTCCTGTTACCGTGGAGACAGTGGGATCCTGCGCCACCTTGGTAACAGAACGCATCGTCCAGAAAGCTCCGCAGATCCTGGACCAGCAGCTCGCTCAGCTGCTCTACGGTAAACAGCTGCTGCTGCTGTCAGAGACTGACGACCGATCAGTGTGTGTAACTGTGTGTAACTCTCTGTGTGTGTGTGTGTGTGTGTGTGCAGCGGCGGTGGTGTTAGACTGTGTGAACATGGCTCCTGCAGCAGGGAAGGTGACTCCTAAAGACAGTCAGTACGCTGCTGCGCTGGAGACTCGTTTCCCCGCTCTGCCACCGAGGGGCGCTCTCTTCCAGGCGCTGCAGAACGCCAAGTTTGACGTGTCAGGTGAGTTTCAGAGTCACCTGTACCTGAGGACAAGTGTCAGTCTGCACAGGTAGGACAGGACGGAAACAACAAGAGTGAAAGAGACGAGAAGCTGAGAGCAGAACGTTAAGGAGATGTGGAGTAGTATTTATCACACGCAGTATTTTAAAGTATTTATCGCAGTATTTTTCCTCAGGTCTGAACACTGAACAGATGTTGTTGAAGGACATGAAAGCTGTTTCAGGAAGTTTGAATCTCGCCGTCTCTGTTCTCTACATCACACTAGAGGTCAGTCAATACACACTGTACTGCATACTGTACTACATGGTACTACATAGTTCCATGGTCTGAGCCGGTGGTACCTGCTTCCTGTCCACCTGTCACAATCAGCAGTGACCTCTGACCTCAGCTCAACTGCAGTGACGTGAGTCTGACAGCAGGTGGAGACAGAGCTGCAGCCTACCTCCTCTTAAGATTAGGTCTAAAGGCATTCTGGGTAGTGTAGCGCACTGACTGTGTGTGTGCGTGCGTGCGTGTGTGTGTCAGGAGTTCCTGCAGAGGGCGCAGTTGGAGGCGGAGCTCTCAGGTTTCTGTCAGAAGTTTGGATATGATTTGCTGCTGATGATGACCATCTCCTTCACTGAGAGCAAAGAGCCAATCAGAGAGCTCGCTGTGTTCAGCCACAGCTCCACCTGCAGGGAACAGGTACACACTGATACTACACATCCTCTTTAGTTTGTACTCAGTGATGTTGTTTGTGTTTGAGTTACCATGACAACAACAGTCTAGGTGTCCTCCCTCCGCAGGTGAGCCAGTACCTGGAGCAGGCCCGTAACCCCGCCCTCAACCTCTGTCCAATCAGCAGCCCCCATCCTCACGTCACAGCCTATCAGCAAGGTAAGCTGCAGGTCTGATCCAGGTCTTAGATTGTGATTGATGCAGGAAATGAAAATAACGCTGTGTTTGATGAACTCTGTTCTGTAGGAAACGTGTTGGCGTCTCGCAAGAAGGTCCTCCCCATTGTTAAAGACTTCCTGAAGGAGCAGGAAGGAGACGGTCGCCTGGGAGACGTGGAGGAGGAGGAGGAGTCTGGGGTCCCTCCGACCCCAATGAACAGTCTGGTGGAGGGCTGTCCTCTGGACGAAGGTCTGCCTCACATCAGCGCCCAGGACCTGGTGGAGAAGGTCAGCAAGATGGCTGACAGAGGAGGGAACTGACCTCTGACCTGTCACCTGTCACCTGTGAGGAGTCATCAGATCTGAGGATGATGAAGGTCCCACAGAGACACAGAGAGGACAGAAGAAGAAGAGTGAGTGAGTTTGTCTCTGAGACACAGAAAGTTTGTTTTTCAATCACAAGTTGATTTATGTTTCGAACATGGACGACGTCAACAGAACCAACAGAACCCACAGAACCTGTCTGAGGTTTGTGTCCATGTGTCACTTTTAGAATGATGTCACTTGTTGCTGTGGAATATAAAGAGTTAAACATGTTGTTCCTGTTTCCTGATCAAATACAGAAAAACATGTTTCAGAATGAAAGTGTTTGATTTTACAGACGTTAAAACCTGGAAAATAAAAACAATTAAAAACCTCGTCACAGAACGTGTTTGGATCAGAAGTAATAACGTGTTCCTCTCGTGTCTCAGTCAGAACCATTCACACCAAACCCAGTCGCTTTCTGAACATAAACAGACATGAAGGAGACGCTGCAGTGGTTGTGTAGAGCAGAGTTGGTCACATGACAGTTAATAATCACATGATCATGTCATGACAAAAATGACAAAAATAAAAACAGCTTCAACGTTCAAACCGCAGACGATAAACATGAGTGACTGTTTGTAGAAAGACGAGACGATCCAAGTGAAATTTCCCCTCCTTCCCTTTCGTTTAATAAAGGTTTTTACAAACTTATGATGATGTCACTCGTCTGTCGCTCTGTCTGTCTCTCTGTCTGTCTGTCTGTCTCTCTGTCTGTCTGTCTGTGTCACACTCTGCTGAAAGTGGTTTCCTGCCAGGAGTGGGTGGTGGTGTCCCTCCACCTGTCCCTGTCCCTCCACCTGTCTCTGTCCTTCCACCTGTCCCTGTCTCTGTCCGTCCACCTGTCCCTGTCTCTGTCCGTCCACCTGTCCCTGTGTGTGAAGTGACGTGATGGTCTGATCTCAACGTGTCAGAAACTGCTTTAATTTCACAATGTTAAAAGTTCTTTTGAAACTCAACACTTTCTGCGGAAGTTTCACAATAAGATGAAGGGCAGGAGGTCTTTACTGTGAACCATGGAAAGGCTTTTATTGTGAAACAGGGAGGAAGCGATGAGTTTGCAGAAACAGGAAATTGCAGAAATAAAGTGACTAATGTGAAAACATTTCCTTTGTTTTCCTCTGGCTTTTATTTTGTTTAAGTTTCTTACCTCAGAAAATGTTTTAATCTGATCCTAAAATTAAGTTTAATATTTTGACTTCACAGTTCTGAGATGTTAAAAAAGATATTAACATGAGATCATGACGTGTCTCCTCCTGATTTACCTCCTGTCTCCTCCTCCTGATTTACCTGTGTCTCCTCCTCCTGGTTTACCTCCTGTCTCCTTCTGATTTACCTCCTGTCTCCTCCTCCTGATTTACCTGTGTCTCCTCCTCCTGATTTACCTCCTGTCTCCTCCTCCTGATTTACCTGTCTCCTCCTCCTGATTTACCTCCTGTCTCCTCCTCCTGATTTACCTGTGTCTTGTGATAAAACATGATAAACTGTTGTCTCAGCAGCAGCAGCAGGCACTAGGTCCCTGAGGACTCCCATAACTTCCTCATGCTTTGAAAAGCCCTGGCAGGTGATTGGCTGACATTAATGAAGTCAGAGGGAAGCTGATCAGCCACCTCACCTGTCTGCACAGAGCAGGTGAGCATCGACCAATCAAACAGCGGCTCAGCTGTGAAATGCAGCAGAACCTGTCGGGCAGAGCGAGAGAGAGAGGGCGAGCGAGTCCCATAGAGTCAGAGTGGGAACTCCCTCAGAGAGAGAGAGAGGAAGCTGTGACATTGACACATACACACTCACACACACTCACACACATTCACACACAGCGGCGTCCAGCAGGTCATACATGTCGGTCAGAACAGGCTGTGACATCACTGTGACATCATGAGTGGACACACTGACGGGCACGCAGAAGACAGGTACGTTAATATTTAAAACTCAAACACTAAGATCCTGTGTGTGTGTGTGTGTGTGTGTGTGTTTCCTGTACCAGCATAAAGAGGAAGTTTGGTGAAGTTGTATTTTCGATACTGGCATTCTTTCTTCCAGGTGGTCAGTGAAGGGGTCGCTGTGGTGCATTTGCTGTCCTCACAGTGTTTTGGTTTTGTTTTGTTTATTAGCAGGAAGTGATGTCAGCATACTCCAGCTGACTTCCTTACTGCTTCCTGTCTCTTGGTTCAGTCCGGTCCAGGTTCAGACCCACATCAGACCTGGTCTCTGTTCTGTCTCTTGGATCCAGATCAGGTTTCTGAGACAGGAAGTCTCTGTGACATGGACAGTCACATGATGCAGAGTCAGACACATCGTCTGTTTTATTCCACTCAATCCTCTTCTCTTGTCTAAACCTGGTGCCTACGTTACCCACAATGCACCTGGGTTTGAGATGTGTTATGCTAGTAGGTGCTAATATGTCCTGTGCCTGCGGCAGAAATAAGATCTGGTGAGTTCACTGCCCATGGACAATTTATCAGACTCCACACAGCTGCCTCTGCAGACACTGATGACATGCAGTCATACCCCAACACCTGGAAACACCTGGAAACACCTGGGAACAGTTCAGCACTAAGTCTTCCTGGAACAGCCTCAAACAATCTATGAACCTCGTAAAGAACCCAGAGCCCCTCTTAACCCCAGGAATCTGCTCGAGCTCTCCTGGAGCCTCCTTATGAAACCACCTTAAGAACTCCTCAGAAATCCTGGAACCTCCTCAAGAACCCCTGCGCCCCCTTGAAGCTCTCCTGGACCCTTCTCAAGACTTGTGGATCCTCTTCAAGTACATCTGAAACTGTCTAAACAAACCCTGAGCCTGTCTCCAGAGTCTTGGAACCCCCTTAAGAACTCCTGGAACCTCCTCTGGAAACCTCGCAGGACTCTCCTTAGGAAACCATGAGCGTCACTCAGTCACACCTCGAGCCTCCTCTTCAAGAAGAATGAGAACAACCTGAAGACCTGCTCAACCCCTTCCACCTGGACCGCCTCAAGCACACCTCAGGCACTCTTTAAAGAATCCTAGAACCTCCTTAAGCCCTGAACCCCTCTCTAGAACCCAGGAACCTGCTGGACAGGTAAGGACACCTGAGAGAGGCCTCTCAGAACTCCCTGGATGTTTCAGTTCTGTTTTTTCCCTGTCTGACCCTGAAGGCAGCACATTGGAAACATGACCCCCCCCACCCCCACGTCCCACTTTCTGTTCCACATCTGATCTCCTTCGCTTGTGACCTAAGCAAACACACAGGTACACGGGTGTGGCTAACTGAGTGGGTGTGTCAGATAGCGTCTCAGCTCTGCTTCAGTAACAACAAACAGAGGAACAATACAGCCCCGCCCCCTCACCTGCTCAGGTGTGTCTCTGTGGACAGTCAGAATCAGAGTAGTCAGGCAGGTTTGATCTGATTCAGATTTTACTGGAACATCGAGCTCCTCACTGGATCAACTGCATGCCACACCGAGTCTACTTCCCACACCTGACAGGTGAGAACACCTGACCGCACAACGTCTCTTCAACAGGAAAACCAGGAGCTTAAAACGACAGAAAAGAGTCAGGTGTGTGTGTGTGTGTGTGTGTCTTCAGTTTTCTTGTGAGCTTCACTAATGTGGTTCTTGCATCACTCTGTGTCCAGACCTTAATTTCAGTCTGTACTGAGTCCAGGTCTGGGTCCAACACTAAGGTTATTTGTTATTTTTAATGGTGGTTGAGAAGGAGGAAGGGGGGGGCACAGAGCTGAAGGGGGGCAAAGATACTGCATGATGTGAATTAGACCTGAACCACATGTTGATCTGATTCAGTGTGACATCACTTCCTGATGATGTCACCATCTCTGATGTCCCTCCACAATGAAACAGTCATAAAGTTCCAGTCCGGTCCGGACACAGTTAGATCCAGTCCAGTCCGGTCACAGTCCGATCCAGTCCAGTTACCATCAAATCCAGTCCGGTCAAAGTCTGATCCAGTCCGGTCAAAGTCTGATCCAGTCCAGTAAGAGATCCAGTCCGGACACAGTAAGATCCAGTCCAGGTCACAGAGCTGCAGCAGCTTAACAGCTTCATATTACGGTTGATGACAGAGTGAAGGTGAAGACAGATCTGAGGTCAGTGAGTCCAGAACCAGTTCAGACCAGACTCCGTGTTTGGGTGTTTTTTCTTTGGTTTGTCTGAACACGAGTAGCAAATATTTGGACCCGACACACCTCCACCTGTCTGTTGGGTTTGGAGACAGTTCGTCCAATCAGAAAACCCGTCAGTGAGAGGGTGGAGTCTGACATCATCACATTTAAAGGACTTTGTTCAACTGTCAGTTTGTGAAGGAGGAAAATGTTCCAGTCCTGACTGTCCTTGAACTCACCGTCCTGTCTGCACTCTTACATCTGACTGATGACATCACGACTTGAATGATTTTCTTCATATCTGCTTCTTTGTTGTCAGTTGTTGTTGTTGTTGGTTTGACTTATGTCTCTTTTGTCCCTGCAGGGCTCCTGTAGGGGCCTCGGACCCCCCAAACATCCAGGACATGGAGCTGAGGGAGGAGTGGCAGGACGACGGCTTCCCCAGGTCTGTGCATTGATGTTTGACCTTTGACCTCTCAGAGACGCCAGACCTCTGGTTTTAACCACATTTACAGAACCTGATGACTGACTGACTTTTCTCCTGTGATCAACATGGTGTACGGTCTATCACATTTTCAAAATAAAAGAAAATTCATTCTCTGACTAAAAGCTGCTTCACAGTAAGAGTCCTTCATAGAAATGTAGTGGAGTAAAGGGCAGAAGTTTACAGAATAATACTCAGGTCAATGTACTTAGTTACTGTCATCTTCATCATCATCATCCTCATCACTTCGTCATCTTCATCATCATCATCATCATCATCAAACAGCAGCTCAGGTTTAAACCAACAGGCTCTGTTTCTGTAGCTGGAGGCTTTGAACAGTGAAACCAGAGCTCCTGTTCGCTGTTACAGACACTGATGATGATGATGATGATGATGGAGCCTCCATCTGCTGGTTTGTAAACTCGCAGCAGCTTTGATTGACAGGAGATATGACTATATTTTGTTTTAATCTCTTTATTTCATTTTCCTGCTCACGGCGGTCCAGACCTCTCCCAGAGGATTGTGGGAGTCCAGAGGAGGCAGCGAGCCCATCAGGAGGTGAGCAGCGACCAGGTGACCACGACACTTTGATTAATCTCCTCTTCATGGTTTCAGTATTAAATAATGATATTTTGTATTAAATATTACATTATTGTTTATTGTCTCATCATTCTGCTTCTCTTGCCATGACCCCTCCTCTCTTAGCTCCGCCCACCAGCCTCGCCCTATCAGGTACAGTTGGGGGTGGGGTTAAGAAGCGCCTGGTGGCCCCTTCTCTCAGCCTGACGCTGAGCGGCAGAGACCAGAGCAATGATGGTTTCTCTGCCGCCGCCCTGTCAGCGACGCCGGACGACACACCATCACTGGACATCAACCTGGAGGCGCTGGAGACGCCATCAGACAGTGAGACAGGAACTCTGCCGGACAGCACGCATGAGCTGGAGTGGGACGGTGAGACTCATCTTGTGGTCATTCTTGTCTAAACAACCAGAGTTTGTTTGGCTGCACTGGAAACCAGTTCACCAGCTGCTCCAACACTGATTACTGCACTAACTCCTGACCTTTGAACTCTCTCTGACAGATGACCTCCCCCGGATGGGGAGGGACAGGACTGTGGGCGTGGTCAGAAACCCTGCGGAGCCATCTGAGGGTCTAATGGGAGTGGACCAGGTGGACAGCAGGGGGCGCCGCTGGAGGCGGTTCTGTATCTCGGGACAGGAATACCAGGTCAACATGAGTGTCCTGGAGCCGTACCTGCAGGTCCTGTCACACGGAGGTCAGAGGTCAAATATACTACTCACCTGAAACTGACAGCGAGGTCAGGAGGGACAGTCCCCCCTCCCACCCCCCTACAGGCAGAGAGCAGTAACTACAGGAACAGTGTGACATCATCCAGAAATAAAACAATTTACAATGTGTTTTCTTTCCTTTAGTTCAAAGGAATCTAACGCACCTGTTCTGCTCTGTCTGTGTTTTAATATCAAAATCAATAAAACGATTAAACCTGAGACAGCAGCGACTGATGCTATGCTAAGCTAATTAGCTTCAACAAGCTTTGGTTTCAATGACCAACTCAGTTACTCAGATGTCAGATCAATAAGTCGGTTCAGTTCTACTTTGACTGTCAGTTGATATAAGTGTGTGTCAGCCGACACCTGTAACACACCTGTAACATGTGTGTTTAACTGTGACTCTTCTCTGCGTCTCTCTGGTTGTCAGGTTACTACGGAGACGGGATGAATGCCATCATCCTGTTCACTTCCTGTTACCTGCCGGAGAACACGGTGGAGGACTACGAGTACGTCATGGACAACCTGTTCAGGTGAGACCCGAGGTCACACTGGTGGTCTGGCTGCTGAGACACAGACTGAACAAGGACCAGAACTCTCAGGACACGGCGGATGATGATGAAGAGAGTTTGAGTGGAGCTGAAGACTCCAGTCAGATGTGTTTGACGATGTTGTTGAACTGATGAACACCTGGACACAGGTGTGACACAGTGTTGTTTGTGGACCTGCAGGTACATTGTGGGGACTCTGGACCTGATGGTCTCTGAGAACTACGTGCTGGTCTACCTGTGTGCCATGGCTCCCAGAAACAAACTGCCGGCCATCAAATGGCTCCACCAGTGCTACACCTCCATCGACAGGAGGTACGACGGGTTCACTCACCAGGACAGCTCTGAGGGGCGGAGCTATCACGGTGTTTCCTGAGTCTGACGTTTGTGTCGTTTCTTTAAACGTGTGAAACTTCAGAAGAAACTAAACATTTTATATCATGTTAAAGAAATAAGGAAATAAGGTTGTTTCCATGACGACAGAGGTGTAACTCGTTGTGTGTCTCCAGGCTGAAGAAGGACCTCAAGGGGCTGCTGGTGGTCCATCCTGCCTGGTACATCAAGGCTCTCATCACTGTGGTCAAACCTTTCATCAGGTCAGCAACACACATCTACCTGTTCATCTGGGTAACCATAACAACAGTCCATTACAGTTAAAGTGCAGGTAGCTGTGCTGCAGCTGATGGACAGGTGAACCTGAAGAGTTAAACTGACCACAAACCGATGACTGACGATTGATGACTAACTCTGTGGGACTCACAGTGACCGTGCTTCACAAGCTCTCTGACTTCCTGTTGCTGACCTCTGACCTCTGACCTGTGTCCACAGTGAGAAGTTCAGCAGGAAGATTCGGTTTGTCCAGAGTCTCCATCAGCTCTCTGAGTTCATCCCCACAGACAGACTGCAGATCCCAGACACCATACGCCAGTAAGACCCTGACCTCTACTGGACTCTACTGTGGTTCTACTGTCTCTGTTCTACTGTCGGGTTCTACTCTGTTAAATTACTGATGGACCCTGTTGGACCTGTCTCTCTCTCTGAGTCGATCCTCCTCCATTTCCTCTTCCTGGACTGAACTGGTCCTGATCCAAGAGGCCTCTTCAGTCCTGACTGACAGACCCAGGTATCGAACCTGTGAGGGGTCGTCATCGTTGACGACCCCTCACAGGTTCGATACCTTAGTGAGTCAGGACTGAGGGAACGTTTCCTGTTTGATGGTAACTCTCTGATCGTCCCGCAGGTTCGACGAGAAGCTGAACAGATGACGATGACGGACTCTGACGTCGACAAACTGGATGGATCCTAAAGGTCAAAGATCAGCAGCCTCTCAGCCTGCTGACCTCTGACCTACTGCCTGTACAGAAGACACACAGAGACTCTGGGTTTATTTATTCTGTCTTTGAACTGGGGGGGTAAGTTAAACTGTCTGTGGCTCTTAACTGTAAAACTCAGGTTCAAGTGTAAACACAACCAGCTGATTCACACCTGCTGGAAGTATTACAGGTGTGACTCAGGTGTGACCCTGTGAGTGTATAAAAGTGGACTGACTGTATTTTCCTTTCATCTTCACCTCTGTGTTTGTTGGAGGTTTTTCTGTTTCAGCATCAGCAGTGAACAGCTGTTTCACCTGCTCCATCATCCTCCTGTAATAAAAGCATCGATCAAACTTTTTGAACAAAATTTTTCTCAGATTGTCTGTTTGTGTTTTTCTGTTCTTCATCACCAAAGTGACCATCATCATCATCATCATCATCATCATCATCATCATCATCATCATCATCATCATCATCATCATCATCACACCTTGTTCTTTAGTCTATAAAGAGTCTATTCATTCATCAGACTGAGACCATGTAGTGTGTTTCTGTCTCGGTCTGCTGGTGAAGAAATCTATTGATCTAATTCTCTGTTATTATATTCTGTTTATCATTATTATTATTATTATTATTATTGTTATTATTATTCATGACATAAATAGTTTTTAATAGTTTATAATATTTCATGTTATCATTTAAAAAGTCCTCTTTCAGGACTTCAGGGACTCGGGTCACTGTAACACCAGATCTGATCCTGTCCGGTCAGCTCCTCCTCGGTCCAGCAGGGGGCGGTCTGCTCCCACAGCTGGGTCTAACACTGAGGTCCCAGGACCTGCTCAGGTGCCTCAGGTGGAGTTTCATTTACTCTGTGACTCATGTTTCAGAGCTGCTGCATCATTTCAACTGAATGAATCAGACCCCATTTCACTGAACAGTCAAGATCCACTTACTAGTTTGATCCAGAACTCTCAACTCTGAGTAAAGAATGGACTGATGAACAAACTGCAGTAGGTGATGAAGCCTGTCTGGAGCCTGTGGTTCCAACAGTTCCTCAGGTTCAGAGACAGGAAGTCTGATGTCAGCTGGTCAGCTAACAGACAGGAAGCCAGGGAGTAGCTTACTGATGTTGGCATGTCCTGATTAACAACCTTTACTTTCACTCCACTGTCTCTGCTGCTTTCATTCTCAGCTGTTGTTAACAAGTCTGTGGACAGGACCAGGAGCAGGGGCCAAGACCAGGAGCCAGGACCCAGGGGCCAGGACCGGGGGCAGGACCAGGGGGCCGGAGGGTCAAATTGTTCACATTTGTTGTTGTGAATCTAAGGGCCACACAGAGACTTCTTCTCTGATTGACTGCTTGTTGTTGTTGTTGTTGTTTGTGTGTTGAGACAGTGGATCCAGGTCTATTCTGTCTCTGATGACCCTCCTGTTCAAATCCTGTCTCTTATTTATGGCCCGCCAGCTACAGGCCCCGCCCCCTCCGCGGCACTAACTGTCCACGCGTCTTCTCCGCGCTCTTATTGGCAACATTTGACCAACCATCGCCGGCTGACCAATCAGAGAGCTCCATTCGCCGGCGGTGCTGCGCGTCCACACTCTGAGCACGTGCTGCCCGGTGAGCCTGTAAGGAGACACCGGGAGACCCGCTGCTGCCCCCCCTCCGGTATAAAACTGACCGCAGACTGTTTACTGACACAGAAACAGAGAGCAGAGTTCTCACTCATTGATCTGACTTCATTCAATTCATCTTCGTTATCTTTGATTCATCTTTTATCTGATTTTACTAAACACAACTTTTACTTTAATCTTATCTCATCATTAATATTCCCGCCACCTGCCGTCACCGTTAGAGTATCGGTCCATCATGGTGCTGTCCTCGGTCAACAAGATGAAAGTCTTCCAGCTGGTCTTCTCGGACCCCGGCAGGTCCTTCTACAGCAGCGGGGACAAACTGTCCTGCTCCGTGCAGCTGGAGGCGGCTCACTCCTGCAGAGTGACCGGCCTCACTGTCACCGCCGCCGGCTGCGCCCACGTGGACCACCGCGGCGGGAAGAACCGGAGGAGCCGCAGCCAAGAGGTGGAGTACCTGAAGTATGAGGAGGAGCTGAGGCTGGAGGAGCAGCTGAGCAGAGGTAAAGAGCTGGTCCTCAGAGACAGTTAGTATGTTTATAATAACATGTTAATGTGTTTATAATAACATCATCTCACTGCACTGATCAAATAGACAAAATCACTGATAGTTATAATTAACAATATAAAGTTTAAAAACAGTAATCATCCTCCGGTGATTACATCATCATTATAATATATAATAAATAAATAATAATGCTGTGATGTCATTGATCAGATGTTAAATTAATCTGATAATATGTTTTAATGTGTATTATTTAATATTAACGTGTTGTATGATACTGAAGTAGAACTGATGGAGTGAGTGAGTGTGTGTGTGTGTGTGTGTGTGTGTGTGTGTGTGTGTGTGTGTGTGTGTGTGTGGAGTTGAACCTCTGCCTCATGAACCACCTCCACCTGTTTGTCCTCAGACTCTGATGGCTGCTTCCTGCTGCAGCCTGGTAAAACCTACAGCTTCCAGTTCGGCTTCGAGCTGCCGGCCCCAGGGTGAGACTGATCAACTCATCTGATAATCAATAATGTTATTGATCACAGCAGCTGATCTGTCCTGACACGTCCTCTGCTCTCTCCTCAGGCGTCTGGTGTCGTCCTATAAAGGAAAGTTTGGTTACGTGCGATACTACACCCGGGCGGTACTGGACAGGCCTACCCAGCATGCTTTGCAGTGTGAGAGGGAGTTTGAGGTGGAGGAGCCGCTGGACATCAACCGACCCGACCTGCTGGTATGAAAACTCTCTGTGATCCAGCGCCGCTGTAGCTCTGAACAGTCAATCGATGAATCAATGAATCCATGAACTGATAAACAAAAGAATATTAAAATATCTCTAAGGAGCACTTACTGATGCCTGAAACCTCACACACACCTCACACACCTCTGACCAGGTGACTCTGTCCCCCTCCAGGCTCCGGCCGCCGCCGCCAAACAGAAGAAGGTTACCTGTCTGTTCATACCTGACGGCCAGGTGTCCATCAGTGCTAAGATTGACAGGAAGGGATTCTGTGAGGGAGAGGAAATAAATATAAATGCCAAGTTCGAGAACACGTGTTCACGTATCGTGGTGCCGAAGGCCGCAATCATTGCCAAGCACACATACCTCGCCGACGGACGCAGCAAGGTGACGCACAGACAGAGGACGAATCTCAAAACAAAATGTCTCCAGGGTCTTCAAGAGATCAGGAGGTCTCTGGTCTCTGGTCTCTGGTCTCTGATCTCTGTGTGATTCTGTTCAGGTCTTGCGTCAGAAACTGTCGGCGGTTCGGGGAAATCATATCATCTCTGGGATGTGCGACATGTGGCAGGGGAAGAGCATCAGGGTCCCCAAACTGAAGCCGTCGCTGCTGGGCTGTGACATCATCAAGGTGGACTACGCCCTTATGGTGAGTCATGGTCGATGACATCATAACTCTGTCAGAAAAGACCAATAGAAAACCTGCCTGAACTCCACATGAATAAATCCATGTTCATAGAGGGATCAGAGGAACTTTAGAGTAAAGAGGTGAAGAAGAGATTAGACTTGAACCAGATCCAGATGAGATGATGAAAAGAGATGAGATTAGATTAATTAAAATGAGAGTCCTCAACCTTAACCCCCCCCCCCACAGATCTACCTGCACATCCCAGGCAGTGAGAAGCTGGTCCTGGAGCTGCCTCTGGTCATTGGTACGATCCCATTCAGCGGCGTCGGCAGCAGAACCAGCAGCATGAGCAGCCAGGCCGGGTCCCTGGGCAGCCAGGCCGGATCCCTGAGCAGCTGGTCCTCCTTCCCCTCCGCCCCCCCGAGCTACAGTAACATCCACAGGGACCTGAGAGTGGACGGGCCCCGCACCCCGCTGCTCCAAGACTACGACGGTGGGGAGGACGAGGAGGACGATGACGGGGGACTCTTCATGAGAGCACCTGAACTGCACTACCCCCCTCCCCCCGCCTACAGCGAGGTGAGACAACGACCTGAGGATCTGATTGGTTTAATCTCTTCTTCAGTGGTGTCAATCAGAGAGAAAAACATGAGATGAGATGAGACTAAATAAAAAGATGATCGGAGGCTCTTAATCAGGATCGTCTAATCTTCTACAGAAGAAACGACATAAAACGACGTTAATGAGAGAAGATCGATACAATAAGATTAGAAAGAATGAGATAAAACAAAATGAGTTCAGATTAAAAGACATTAGATGAGATTACTGAGATGAAAATGGTGAGAAATGGAACGGGATAAAATGAAATGAGATAAAACAATAAAGGATAAGATTTGAGGAGAAAGTCAGATCATATCAGATGACCTAAAAATAAAATTACATAAAATGTCAGATAAAATAAACTGATAACATGAGACGAGGTGAGATAGGATGGGATGAGATATTTCATATATATATATACTATTATATTATCAGGGATCATTTTAACCCTTGGATAGGATGACAAAATGAGATGAGACCAGGTGATAGAAATGATAGATGAGATTAGATAAGTTTAATTAATAAGATGAAATAAAAAATAAAACGAGATGATTAGATGAGATTAAATGAGATGAGATGAGGTTGTTCGGTGTCGTCCACCCTCCTAATCATCTTGTGTCTGGTTGTCTTCAGGTGGATCAGGACGCCGTTAACCCTCCTCAGGTTGTTCAGGTGTTCTGAGGACATCCTGACGAGGACCAGGAGACGAGTACGACGTCCTGTTAAGACCATCCATGGTCTCGTCCCCTCACAGTTTCCTGATGGGACTCTGAGCTTGGCGCTCACGTGACTCGTTATCTGACCTGTCTGTTATTCCCCGTCGGTTCAAGACTGAAGCGTGGAGCTTGGTGATGACGATGACTCAGCAGTTTTCTGTCAGTGACTCAGATGTTTTCTGTCAGTGACGCAGATGTTTCTGTTTTGTTGTGTAGGTAAACTCAGAGGAAAAGTTTTGTTGTGAAAAGTGTTTTTGATATTTGCTGTCTCTCAGTCCAGTGTTCGGATTGGTTGTTTTGTACGACTAGAGTTAAAGAAAGTTTTATACATTTTGTAAATAAAAGCAGATGTTTATTTTTTTTACTCAGAGAATAAATCCATTTTCCAACTGTCCCTCCTGATCCCAGCGTGTTTCACCACAACAAATAAAACCTAATGTACTCTTCAAGTACAGATGACGGTAAACAACAACAAGCACAACAAAATCACCATCAAGTCTTACTGTATAAGGTGGTTGATGCGTTCATGGCCTCAGGTAGAAAATCAGTCATACAGCCATCGTTACATGTGCAGTTCAGCTCTCAGTGATCATACAGAAAGAGTAAGCACTATCTGAGAAGGGACGTGGGCCTCTGTGCAGTCATCAGCTAACTCAGTCTCTAGGGCTTATCACTCGAGGAGGTCCGCGAGGGGAGAGTGGAAACATGAGATGGGGGGGTCCCTCTTGTAAGACAACCCCCGTCCTGGAACTGAAACAGAAAGACCACGAGAGTTATTTAAAGCTAAATTAAAGCTAAAGCTATTACACTTTCTGTATAATCACTGAGAGCTGAACTGCACATGTAACGACAGCTGTATGACTGATTTTCTACGTGGGTCCATGAACACATCATCACCACTCACAGTTAATACGAGCTAATACGTCAGTAATGAGAATCTCATACTTTAACAGTGACAGGAGCCATTCTGCATAATGACAACTTTTACTGTAAACAAGGACCTTCTGTTGGTCAGCACTGTGACCTGTAACACAATATTTTTATAGTGTTGTCACTACATTTACCTGAGGACAGGTGTGATTACCTGTCACACTGCTGGACTTCAGTAAACTCAGGTTTGACCCGAGTGTTTCCTCCAGCACCGTAAAATCATCATCAACACTGGAACACTGTATGTACCTGACTGTGTTTATGTAATTGTCATGATCCGTGTGGCGCTGTCAGTGAGCGTGATGGTGGAAGTGGGATAAAGGTCAGAGGAGTCTGGTCTTTGTTTTGACAGATGCACAGAGACACATTTAGACTCAGTGTCTCTGGATCAGGTCTTGTCTCTGCTCAGTGAATCTGTCTCCGTCTCATTTCTGTAAAACACTTTTAGACAGAAAAAAATGTGAAGTCACAACATTTTTGAAAAGATAGTTTTGAGTGAGGACGTTGTCTGTGAAGGAGAACACTTATAAAGACACTTAATGACACTTTTCAAAAGGAACTAAAGTTTTTAGAAAGAAAACTTTTTTGAATCAGATTCAGTCTCTAATGCTGCCTTCAGGGACCTCGGGGTCTGCTCCATCTACTAACTCAGTCATTCAGCCTGATGCTCCTTCTCAGCCACTGTCCCGCTCTTTGTTCCAGAACCTGTTGAGGACGCATCTCTTCAGAGAGACCTCCTCTCCTCACACCTCTGACAGCCTCACCTGTCTAACCAGTTCTGACTGTGAACTTCAGGTGAGTAAATGTAAATGTTTCCATCCTCCATTATCATTCATTCATTCATTTTCTACCGCTTATCCTCCTAGTAGGGTCGCGGGGAGGGCTGGAGCCTATCCCAGGCATCCTTTCGGGCGAGAAGGCGGGGTACACCCTGGACAGGTCGCCAGTCCATCGCAGATGTAAATGTAAATATGTAAATTTAACAAATAATGAAACCTTTAAAAATAACACTGTTTTTACCAACTGAAACGTCTTCAGGGGTTTAGACCTGGTTTAAAGCTCAGGTCAGTCCTGAAGGTTTGTGGGTGTGTGTGTGAGTGTGTGTATATGTGAGTGTGTGTGTGTGTGTGGGTGTGTGCGCGTGCATGTGTGTGTGTTGTATGAGCAGCGTAATCGGACTCTGTTGTTTACTGCGACTGCAACAGCTGTTCACATCAGAATCTCCTCGTGTGACCTCTGACCTCTGACAACAACACATCAACACACTGTAGCTGCACAGAGACTCACACATACAGCACATATCACACATCTACTTTCAGTTTGGCCTAATCTTAGTAACACGTGTAAACAGACCTGGACCCTGGACCAGAACCACATCCTGCAGATCTGCTCTCATCGTGTTACATTTGGCCTCGATACGTCTCGGCCTCGAACGTCTCCTCTGCTTTCTCTTTTTTTTTGGAGCTGCAGTCCTCCACCTGCAGGACCAGCAGCCCGGCATCACTCTCATTGGTCGGCAGGGTATCCCATGCTGCGTGTGATTGGTTGATGCCCGGAGATCACTCGTTCAGAGAGTGCTCGGGCATCTGAGTCAGCGCTGCCGCCCAGATTCCTCTTTCTGTTTCCACATTTAGAAGCACTGAGCTAACGCTAACGAATGAAACTGGGTCCTGCTGCAGCTCAGCGCTCATGTTAACCAGCCACTGTGAACACACAACCAGCCAATCACAGCGGAGCACATAATTAACAAGCCAAAGCTTAACGAGTGTGGTGTGCTCGTTAAAATTGAATTGATAATCTCAGTTTATTTCATTCAGGACTCAAGTTCTCACGACAGGAAATAAGCTTCATAGAATGAGTTTCCAAATTAAGAGTTTAAAGATAGAGGTGAAATTTGAGCTGACCTCAGATCAGAGAGGACTTCCTAGAAGAACATGAGACAGGCAGAGGGACAGAGGGACAGAGACACAGACTCAGAGACTGTTGCTATGGTTACCCCCCTCCTCAGCTCTGGCAAACCAGTCATTGCTGAATGACATAAAGCACATCACTACTGGAGCTCCAGCACAAGAAAGTCTCCACAAACACCAGGTTTCTGAAGTTTCTGGTTTTATTCTATGACATAAAACACGTCAGTAAATACCCCATTCCTGATTCTTGAAGCTTTTATATTCTCTGTTGCTATCAAGCATCTGAATGAGAATACAGAGGTTTTAGGGGACGTTAAATGTCATTATGTTGAACATGAAAATCGATCTACTCACCAGTCCACCTTTAGAGTCTCGTTAAACTCAGCAGTCCACCTTTAGAGCCTCTCTGTGTGTTTATACAAACTGTCACTAACTCTGTCAGAGGAAGAACTTATGTAGAACAGGTCAGACAGGAATCAAACTACAAGCTGAAGTTTAGTGGTGTTGATGTTGACGTCATGTGACCCTGGTGTAGTTGGTTTATAGTCTAACATTAACTTTTTACTTCTCATTGTAATGAGGCTCCAAACATCAAACAGTGATGTTCATTAGTGAAGATGATCCTGCTGAACTAAACCTCAGGATCAGAAACTGTTGTTATTTTCTCTAATAATCCAAAACACAATGGAGAAATCCTATTGGCTGTTTGTGGAGGGAACCAGGGTGAAGCTAACTTCAGGTGGACTACAAACATACTTCATCCTGCTGCAGTCTATAATCCTGGTAATGACACAGTTAACTGTAACATGAACCATTAGAGAATCTGCTCTCTCTCTGATTGGTCAGAACCCTCTAATCTACCCGGAGACACCTCTGTACAGGTTTGTGATTGGTAGTGGTTGTAATTTTCAACAAAGAAAGAGAAAGTAAAGAAGCGGAGCAAATCAACAGGAAGCAGGTTGATCAGGTTGGACAGATTCCTGATCATCGATCAATATGTTTGTCATCCGGCTGATGATTGTCTCTCTGTTCGTCCATCAGGTGATGAGTTCAGGTACCAAACTCCTGCTGTAAACTGCTGTTTCTGTCTTGAGTGTTACACTGATAGTGAAAATGGTTCTGACACAGCAGCTGCTCTTATTAGTCAATCAGTCTGATCACAGATCAATGACCAACTGTTTATCTGTCAGCTGACTCAGACCTGATAATAAACCTGGGCTGTTTATCAGACCCTGTGGACCACTTCATTACTGCTCTGCAGGAGCTAACTGAGGGACCACAGGGTCTTTCAAAGGAGGGAAGTCTGCTGCTGAGACCTTTGTGTGTCTCTGAGCTTTTTTAACATTATTCACGTTTCCCATGATGCTTTGTTCCTCCCAGGTTCAGGACGACACTCCCTGTGGGCGCTGGCCTCCTACATCTCAGGGACGACCCCGTTTCCAGAGTTCTCTGTGGTCCTGATGTTGGACGACGTCCAGGTGGGTTACTATGACTCAGAGCTGGACCGAGTGACGAGGGTCGGCGGGGCAGGTGAGGAGGGGGCGGAGCTGGGCCTGGGCCAGGAGGCAGTGTCCGTGTTGCGGGAAATGTTCTCCAACATGGGTAGGAGGCTGACGCTGGTCAAACATCGCTTCAACCTGACGGCGGGAGTCCACGTCCAGCAGAGAGTGACGGGCTGCGAGGTGCTGGAGGACGGACAGCCGGCGCTCATCATGTTCAGGGACGGGTCCAACGGGCAGGACGCCGACAGCCTCATGTACAACATGACACACTTCACATACGCCGGCAGGGAGGGCGGGGAGATCCAGTGGGACGCTGTGAAGAAGACGTACTTCCAGATGCTCTATTCAAATATCTACCTGCCCTTCTGTGTCTGGACTCTCAGGACCCTCCTCGACAGGGAAAAGCACCTGGTGATGCGTCGGGTCCGACCTCGAGTCCGCCTCATAACTAAACAGGTAGTGGGCGGGGCTCAGGTCACCTGTCTGGCCACAGACTTCTACCCTCGCCACATTAACCTGACGCTGCTGCGGGACAGCCGGCCCGTGGACGAGGACGAGCTGACCGGCGGCTCAGTGCTGCCCAACGGTAACGGCCTCTACCAGGTGAGGAAGACGCTGACGGTCGGCGACGAGGAGCTGCGGAGAAAACACAACTACACCTGCACCACCTCTCACCTGAGCCTGGACAACCGGCTGGAGGTGAGCTGGAGGGCCGAGTTCTCCCGCTCTTACAGGGTTCACATCATCTCTGCTCCTGTCGGCCTGATGGTCGCTGTCCTCCTGCTGCTGGTGCTGCTGTGGAGGAGGAGGAGGAGGAGGAGGTCAGAGGGCGTCGCCATGGAGACACAGGAGTAGCCAGAGGAGCCTGAGCTCTAAATGAAGAAAGTGATTCAGACACAGAAACAATACACACCAGGTGTGTGCAACCTGCAGCCAGGGAGAACCAACAGTCTGCAGGGTTACACCTGAGCAGGTGATGTCACCTGTGGAGTCTTTATGGATGAAGACCCGTGAAAGATGTACCCATACCTGATATTCATACTTAATAGTTATTTTAACTACTTCCCTTTAGTTTCATGTGTAATCTGCATCATATCTTTATGAAGTGTTTTCTTTGTCAAGTCTTTCAATCTGAACTACTCAGTGAGTACAGCTGGAAGATAAATGCAGTACAGTAGAAGTATACAGTAACCAGTAAAGTACCTCCAAACTGAACCTGTAGTAACCTGTAGTACTTGAAGTAATTGTACTCAGTTTTCAGGACTGGACTGTGTGGTAAAGATACTGTCTCAACTAATGGGATCAATAATGATTTAAAAAGGGAAAGTGTTTTTCATCACCACGTCATAAAGCCATTATATAATACCTTTAATGATGCTGTGTGAGTATTGTCCTCCTCTGGACCAAACAGCCCCCTGTCACTCTCGACCTGCCCACCAGGTGTCCTCAAACTGATTCTCAATCACCTTAGCTGCACCCTCACACACCTGTAACAGAGTCTAATATGCAGCAGTAGTATGTGGATTAAAATTACACAAAACCTGTATTACTAGTTGTGACGTGTGACCTTGACCTATCTATCTATCTATCTATCTATCTATCTAACTATCTATCTATCTAACTAACTAAATTACCTGCTGTCAGTCAGTGACGTCACGTGGCGACCTTTGACCTGAGGTCATCCATGACGTGCTCTAACCTTTAACAGAGCTGCCATCGTGACGCGGGACGTTGCAGACAGACACTCGGCGGGAGAAACGTTGGGACTCCAGCTGCCGGTGAGTGTGTTTACAGCGGTTTATGTGCGCGTTGTATTGCTGTACCTCTAAGTGGGCATGCGCGCCTAAGCAGCCGTTAGCCGTTAGCCGTTAGCCGCCAGCTAATGACAGTTGTGTTGCGAGGGGAAAACGGAACAGGTTTTGACCGGCGACATTTGTTGTTAACGGTGAACTGTATTTCTGTATTTCAATCGTCTTAGGAAATGTCATTTTACTGTCAAGTAGCGTTAATGCTAGAATCTTTGCTGTTCTTAGTATTTTTTTGCAACTAATCAGTGACAAGACAATCTGCTTCCTCTTTACACTGCCTCGCGCTTTCCCAGTGTACGTGGTTGCGTTTTTAGGTGTGATAGTTTGGACAGTGATCGTTTCCGTTTTAAAATGAAAACGAAGTAGAGTCGACACAGCCTTACTATCATCTTGTGGACATGTTGGTTTGGCTTCATGATCACAGACAACAAAGTGATATGGACCATAAAATGGACCATGGGTGAGACTTCTACTAGGTGTTCAGGAAGCCCAACAAGCTGGGCAAGCTCCTCATCCTTGTTCCTGCAACAGTTGAACGTGACAGTGGCAGCAGTGCAAGGAATATGGGACAATGGGTGAAACTCAGTTGGGTATTAGCTGGAATCTGCCCCATCCACACCGTGACTCACGTGACCCTAATGACTCACATAATGAAGAAGTTATCTCAAGGCAGTTTTCATACAGAGCAAGTCAATGTCTCACATGTGACCTCCAAGACTCTCAAGGTGTAATGAACCAGCTTGACTTAAAAGCCTGGGACTCCCAACTAGTCATTTACAACCGAAGAGGCCTTTTGGATGAGAATTGAAACTGAATTAAAAACACAAGTCCAGTTGCTGTTGTACAGCTCTGAAAGATACCATGACCTGGAAGTCTGACAGTCTTCACAGACAGCCTAGATGTAAAACATTAACATTGTACATGTTATTTGTTTACATCAGTGATTGGCAACTGGCAGCCCGTTGGCCAAAACTGGCCAAGCCGAACAGATTCACAAAAGAAGAACAAGAAACAGTGAAAATCTTTCAGGAGATCTTAGGAGATAATGCAAAAAAGTACACTGTGGCCTTGTTCACCCATGGAGACGACCTGAAGGAGGACGGAGTCTCCATAGAGACATTCATTAGTCAGAATCAGCTTCGCCGTGACTTCATCAGTCAGTGTGATGGAGGTTACCATGCTGCTGAAGAACTGCAGCGTCCAGTACCAAGTGTTCAACAACAAAAACATGGAGGACAGGGATCAGGTCAAAGGGCTGTTTGACAAAATAGATTCAGTCTCTGAGGGAGGACGTTTGTTTTATAAGACAAGACCTTGGTTATTGAATCTAATGATCAGAGCCGGAAGGATGATTTACCACAGTTACTGTTGGTTATTTAACACCATCTGTAACTTATTCAGATGGTTACTGAGACACATGAGAAATATCAATGTACAGAGGTCAATATTTTTTCTCTTCTGTTGAAGTCAGATCATGTCAACCTGAACAGACCCCCCCACCATTTTGAATTCACCACTCTTACAAATTTGATCAGTTCATTATTTCACATTAATATATATAAAGGCTGGGGACATATTGAGGGGCTATTGCTCTAACCTGAAAAATAGGCAACCTGCTAAATGTAAGGGCCTAACAGCCATCACCATGTACCTGAATGATGTAAAGTATGCTCATTTAACCAATCACAAATCAGTTTTAAATGTATCAATTGTTTTAAACTTGAAGAGATTAATAAAAATCTAAATATTGCACACAGCCAGTCAAGTTCTTCTAAACTAGAGTTCAGATGATGGAGCTGTCTCTGAAAGAAACTTTCTAAAAATACTAAAATACAAAAAAAAAAGCCTTAAAATGTAGTGGAGCAAGTAACTGACAACAGGCAAAGGACAAAAGTTCATTTCAGGCAAGCAGCGTTCACTGTCTCTTAGCTTTTTGCAGACAACTGGACTCGCTTGAGGTTCTTTAAGAAGTTTCACCTCTAATCCGAAAGGCTTCTTCAGTCCAGATGCCTTCGTAAAGTTCTAAGAGATACATGATTACAGTCACCACTTCGTAGTATTTTGTGTAAGTAAATTTATTATTTAACAATACAAGGCAGGCTTAAATGAATGGAATGAGTAGACTGACTACTGAATGAGTGACTCAGTATCACAGTCAGTTGAAAAATGTAATCATGTGATTGTTGGCAGCTTTGAATTGGACTGAATCAACCAATCCTTTAAGCTATTGCGTTGTTTTATATTTCCAGACACCATCCGGTGTCTGTGACAGCTCCGTGGAGCATCCTGGTTTTCATGTGTGAGGCAGAGTCTCTACAGGTTGATGGGGTTGGGAAACATCATGTACTGTAGGTATTTAGAGGAGAGTTGTATCTCTGACTTTAATCATGTTGTGTGAAAGTTTCTATTGACAACAACAATAAATGAAAACATCATCATGAACATTTCTAAACTCTTATAAACCAGATGATTCACATTCAAGAGTAAATTCACCAAAGTCATGTTTTAACATTTAATAGAAATGATTCTCTACAACATATGAAAACATCTTCCACAAATGCAGCATCTTAAGAGATTCTTTTATCGATTGATTGATTGATCAGCTGCTGTGTTTAATTACCAGTCTGTTTATTGTCTCCTGGATCTGAATGTGGTTTTCTTCTGTGGGTCAAACTCTCACAGCTGCGCCACCTGCAGGCCACTTCAGTCCTCTACAGTCTGGATCAGTTCATACATCAAGTCTTTATAAACCTGTTTAACTCCTCGTGTAGCTGCCGTTTATTTGTCCAACAGCCAAACAGAACAAGTTCAGAACAATAAAACTCTGGTACAAAAGGTTAAAAACTTGTCAGCAGAGCACAGGTACATCAGTGCAGGTTCAACGCCACCACAGGAAACAGACTCCACCTTTACTATAAAAGTCTTTAAAACCAAATGTCAAACAGCTGCTGGACGGTTCGTCTGCGGGGACCGTGAACACAGACCACCTGGTCTCACCTGCAGTAAACAGTTATTAAACACTGCATAATAAAAAAGAGAGGGAGTGCGCGTGTCTCAGTAAATAGCCTCGTCCATGTTGTCGTCACTGTCTCCTCCAAACTCCTCTCCGTTATCGAAGTACGACATTATGTAGTCCGTCTCCTGCAGACGAGGAGCAGGGACAGAAAACACTAAATCCAACAGGCTGAAGATCAATAACTCTAACAATAATCTTGAGAGAATCTTAATTATTTTACACTGATTAATTAAACACTAATATTATTGTTTTGTTTTTTTCTCACCTCCTCAAACTCTTCTTCATCATACTCCTCCTCTCCCTCAGCCTCCTCTTCCTCCTGTTTCTTCTTCTCTTCTCCCTCCTCTTCATCTGAACTCTGCTGCTCCTCCTTCTTCTCCAGAGTCTGACGCAATTAAGGTGGAAATGATTGTTAAGGTGGAACAGCAGCTGAAACTTTGACCTAGTTATTTATGTATAATATGATATAATATAATTCATGCTTCTTCACCTCCAGATTGAGCAGAACTTCCTCTTTCTCTTTGACTTGTTTCTTCTTCAGACCAGGCTGAACTCTGTCAGAGCGACTGACCGCCACCGAGACGCCTGAGGAGACAGAGACAGTCAGTCATCATTCATCCATTCATTAGTCATTCATCCATCAGGAGAACATCTGTCTATCTGACCATCAAAACAGCTGTGACAGAGAAAATCAAAACCAGAGTCAGACATGAATAGTTCGTCTCCGTCTTCCCAGCATGCAGCTGTACACCAACATGAGACGTTAATATGTGGTTGAATGGAGGTTGTGACGTCAGGTGACCAAAAGGACAACGACTAACGCCAATGTCACTTGGACGACAGCTGACTGACATTTTGTTGGTTTTAACTCAATCAGGAACCGAAACCAGCGTCTTCGAAACGTCTCACGACGTGTTGACACATAAAATACTGACGTTCTGATCGTGAGCAAAACCCGACGTCTGATAAACGTCACAGTGTTAACTCGCTAATGGACTTTTATTTCCAACCAAAATGTGACGTGTCTCTGGTGCTGGGTTGACACGTGTTGGTGAACGATGGAACAGGTCCAGGACCTTAGTCTTCTGTGTCTGATGACGTCAGACATGTTGGATTTCTATCAATATATTCATCAATATATCGGAAAAACAGAACAGCTGAGAGGAAACGATTTAACATAAATCTTTATTTTTATCCAGATTATGAAAACAACAATTTAAACATGTAGTACTGCAGCACTGACCCAGAGTGTATTTAGAGTACTGCTTGTGTTTATAATACTGCATGTATTTAGAGTACTATGTGTCTTTACAGTACTGTGTCTGTATTTACAGTACTGTGTGTACTGACCGTCTCTGCGAGGTTTCCTGACGTGGACTCGGAGCTCTCTGGGGAATCTCTTCCAGTCTGAAACCACAACAGAACATCAGAGAGCAGTTCATGGTAAACACACTACTACTGATACACACTGTAGGTACACACTACTACTACTGATACACACTGTAGGTACACACAACTACTACTGATACGCACTGATACAAATGAAGCAGAAAAAGTAAAAACAGTAAAAACACAAAGTAAAAACTGATTAAAACCAGCGAAGAACAAGTTACAAAGAGTCAAATACTAAAAAGAACAATTCATACATGTTTGTTATATATGAAATGTATTAATATTAAACAGTAGAAGAACATCTTTTATTTTGAAGCAACAGATCAGACTCTGACAGACTGCAGCTGAGTTTCTCTTCCAGATGTTTTTCTTCCAGATGTTCCTGCAGCTGGAACCAGTATTTTCTAAATCGTCCTGATGCTGCAGCTGCTTCTCCTCCGTCTGAACTGACCCTCAGCTCCTGATCGTCATGACGACATTTAGTGTGATTCTCTTCCTGGAGGACAGAGTCATGATGGAGTCGTCCGGCGCTCAGAGACCGAACAGCTGCACTGACTGTCCCTGTTAAAGGTGTGTATTAATCGGAGTGATGTCTCACCTGGAGTCCAGTCCAGCAGACCGTCCGTCTGCTCGTTGCTGTGATACTTATCAGAGTACCTCTCCACATCTGGACAGGAAACACAGATAAGACCTTCACAATAAAACTAATGTTCAGGAGATTATTGCTGATGTTTATTGATCAGCTGATCCAGGACCTGCTGTCAGCTGATTGTTGTTTACATTTCATACATCATGTTTATTTATGCCTCAGTGAAAGGCAAAGTATTGATTATCGATGTGATGTGTAGTTCTGTGTGTGTGAGTCTGTGAGCTTTTCTTTCTGTCTTTGTGAGGACCAGTTCTAGTTTAAACCAGCGTCATGAGAAGTCCAGTGTGAGGGTTCAGACCTGGTTTTAAGGTTCAGATTAGAATCAGGTTTAGGTTCGGGTCGGGAACTAGAGAAAACATTATTCCAGCTGAAGGCCCTCACAAGTACAGAAAGTAGAGAGTGTGTGTGCTGTGACCTCTGACCTTTGTGTGCAGCAGCTGGTTGGATGAAGCAGGGCAGACTCTTCATGGCTCCTCTGAACTCCTGTTTGAGAGCTAACAGATACTCCGCCTCCTCCCCAACTGCCAGGGGGAGGGGCTTCTGCTCCATCACCTGGAAAACAACACACACAGTCAACTGCAAGTCCCAGAATGCACTGCTGTCAGAAACATCCAATCATCTAATGACATGTAACACTGCTGGATCCATCAGTATTTAAAGCCCTGTTCTTTATGCTGTATCACATTCAGACTGTCCCATTAACAGCAGCTGATCAGCTGTGATCAGCTGTGATCTGCTGATCAGCTGTCTGCAGTGTATCATGATGTTCAGACAACTCTCACTGGATCACAATGATACTGAAGGAAACTTAAAATCAGGAGGATTCTCTAAGAAGTTCTGCAGCCTCTGTTTCTCTGGAGCTTTACTGTGGAGGGACATCAGAGATGATGACATCATCAGGAAGAGAGGTCACTGAACCAGATCAATATGTGGTTCAGGTCTGACTAATTCAGGACTCTGAGGAGAGTTACAGGTTGCTCTGTGTTTACATGAGACCAACAGGTTAAATATCCAGAACAGTTCTGTGAGGAGGTTCAGGTCTGAAGGCGGTCTGGACTCTGGGGGGTCTGGACTCGGGGGGTCTGGACTCTGGGGGGTCTGGACTCTGAGGGTCTTACAGGGAAGGCAGGTGTCGGCTGCTGCATGGATGGAGGTAAACTGTCTCCTCTGCTGATGCCGACAGCATCCACACTGAAACTCATCGTCCTCCGACCTCGACCACGACCCGCCATCACTGCTGCTCCTCAGACCAGACCAGATCAGACCGGGACAGAATGGATCAGACCGGTTGGAGGTGAGTCTGGATCCTGACAGAACCAAAACAATAGAATAAAACTTTATTGTCCAACAGAGGTGAACATAATCTTCAGCACAAGAACATGAAACCTCAGCAGTACACACACACACACACACACACACACACAGTGGTTTCCTGTTTAACTTTAATCTTCATGAATCTGAAAAACTGAAAACAAACTCCTGCTCAGACATCACACACCTCAGTTATTGATCTTCAGTTTATTGTTTATTGATTTCACCTTTTGTTACAATCAGAATCAGCTTTAAAATAAATAAATAATCCAATATATTCTATTCTATATTCCATATTATGTTAAACTGACTCGGAACAAACTGGTGGTTTCAACTGAAGCAGAGAATCTGGGGTCACGGTACGTAACCAGCGTTACATCTACTGACGCTGCTAACAGCTGTTAGCATCGTTAGCTGTATTAGTATCGTTAGCTGCTGTATTAGCAGCAGTGCAGTTAGCATGTTTACCGGCCGCGTGTCACCTTCAGTCTGTGCTTTCCTGCTGATAATCGTGGTTCATCTCCTCATCAGACGGACACTGAGTTATCTGCTCAGCGGAGCATCCTGCAGACAATACAACATCTTTGTTTACATCCACCTCCGCGCCATCTTCTTCTTCTTCTTCTTCTTCCTCTTCCTCCTCCTCCTCCTCTTCTTCGTCTTCTTCTTCTGTAATGATTAGTTTCTACCCGCCACCGCCACCTGCTGTTCAGAGAGGCTGTTACACACTGTTCTTTAACTGACTGTTGACCGTCAACATGACGCAGAGCTGAGAACATTGATCAGTCCGTTGATCAATGAATGTATTGATAGGAAATCGGTTGGTGAGAACTTTGATAACTGATGAAGTCAAGTTAATAAAAAAACAAATATTTCTTAAATGAGAAGATTTGTTGATTTTATTTTAATATTTTTTTTATTATACTGACGTCATTGTGATGTGTCAGTTTTAAATGTGATGACATTTCTCACTATTTTCTGAATTTACAAACCAGATAATCAATCAGTTAATCAATAAAATAATTGAACAATTGATTCATGTTGAAATAATCTCTGGAGTTCTTCCACCAGACGTCATGTAAAACATTCATCATTTTACATTTTCAGACCATCCTCCTTCTTCCATCCTTCATCCCTTCATCCCTTCATCCCTTCATTTCTTTATTTTCTTTCTTTCTTTCTTTCTTTCTTTCTTTCTTTCTTTCTTTCTTTCTTTCTTTCTTTCTTTCTTCAGTTCTTGTCCACATCATCCCTCCATCCTTTCATCCTTCTTTCATTTCCTTCACTCTTCCTCTCTAATTTTTATTCCTTCGCTCCATCCTTCTCTCTTTCTTTTCCTCATCCATCTTTTCATCCTTTGCTTAATTTCTTCTCTCTTTCCTACTCCTGTCATTTCCTTGTCCTTTCATTATATTTTCACATTTCAGCTTCCTTCCTTCCTTCCTTCCTTCCTTCCTCTCTTCTCTGTCCTTCCTTTCTCCCTTCTTTCTTTCCTTCCTTCCTTCCTTCCTTCCTTCCTCTCATTATGGTCCTCAGCTCCACGTTGACCTCAGCAGTGACCTCCTCCCTCCCCCCTCCTCACTTCACCTCAGGGCCCCCCTCAGTCCCTGTGGGTCCTCAGGCCCTGCCCCTCCTCCTCAGGCCCCACCCCTGCCGTCCATCAGTGTGGGGTCAGTTTGAATCAGGTCTTCAGGAGGCTCAGCAGGATCTCTGAGCTCTGATGTGTCTCTGCCTTCGTCCTCACAGAGTTCATATCTAACAGGGTTTAAATCAAGAAGAAGAGAAAAGAGAAAAAAGAAGAGGTTCAGTTATTTTTATTTTGACGTTTCCTGTCTGAGCTGCTGGACCTTTGTGTTTCTGATGATCTGGATTTAAACTGAAGTGAAACATGAAGATGACGAGCAGCTGGACGACCATGATGATGATGATGCTGCTGCTGCTGTGCTGCTCAGGTCTGATATATTTATTATTGTTATGATTTTATTATGAAGGAGCAGGTTCAGGTCTCACCTGAGAGGTGACATCATACTTCACAGCTGAACTCAGGTCAGATTCAAATAATGTCAGTAACACAGAGTCTGTTTTCAGTCGGTGTAGAATTCAGATGTTTTAATGTTTGTTAAAGATGAAGAGGTTGATCAGCTGCTTGTTATTGATCTGCTTTAATCTTCTACATGTGTCTGAGTTTAGTTTCATTTAGTTTATTGATTTAGTTCAGTTTGAAGAAAAAACTAAAATATTTAATGATTGAAACAGAATCATTTTCTTTATTCAGCTTTTCAATGTTTTAGACTCTGATCATAATAATAATAATAATTAATAATGTTGATCATGTTTATAATAATACTAATAGTTTTAATAGTAAAATGTGTCTGAAGAAGCAGACACAGAAAGTCACACACACTCCATATTCATCAGCCTCATTTTCATACAGCAGACAGACGGTCTGTGTGTGTGTGTGTGTGTGTGTGTGTGTGTGTGTGTGTGTGTGTGTGTGTGTTGTGTGTGTGGTGTGTGTGTGTGTCTGTGCTCTGCGTGTGTGTGCTCTGCTCTTGAACTTGATGAAAACCCACTTCATTTGTTTGTTTGTTTGTCCTCAAGTCTGTTTGAGGCTTCAGACTGAGGTCAGCATCAGTGCTGTTGCTATGGTTACCTGCAGGTTAATACACCTGGTTTCTCTGATGAAGAGCAGAGAGCAGGATCCTGATGCAGGATCAGAGTCTTTCAGGTTCTTTTCTGCTCATTTCTGTGTGTCATCATGACTGAAGGTCACAGCCAAAAGCATTCTGGGAGCTGAAATCACTCATCAGTGTAGAGGAACTGATTATTTTGATTATTGATCATTTATAATTATTAGTTTGGTTTATGAACAGAGTCAGAGTCAGAGCCTGTTACTACAGGAAGTGATTCATTGTTTCAGAAACCTTTAAACTTAAAAGACTTTGAAGATGTCTGAGCTGAAGTGAACATGACAGATTCTGATGGTTAATTAGCTGGATCCAATTAAACAAAAGCAGCTGTGTGTGTGTGTGTGTGTGTGTTTTCTGATGAAGGATTTACTGCTGTTTGTTGTCACTGGTCTGTGGGGGGGTGCTCTGTGTTCGGGTGGGGGGTGGGTGCTGCCATGGGACCACGTTCACGGTCAGTGTCGGGCGTGCGACAATACGCCACAGAGAGAGAGGGAGGGCTGCTGAACCTGAACTGAGACTCTCATGACCTTTAGGGGCTGAGGGGGGATTTTAGGGATTTGGAGGGCAGGTCAGGGTGAGGAGGGGGGTGAGGAGGGGGGGTGGACTGTCTGCTCCAGTGTTTTAAATCAACCCATCCCCCTTTTATATATAATGAGGACCCAGATGGGAGGCGTGTGGTTTAATCCTGAACCTGCAGTCTGAGGCGGTTCTCACAGCAAACAGTGATTCATCGTCAGCTGATCAGACGGACTCTGAGACATGAACTCTGTCCTCGAGTCCTTGTGTCCTTGAGTCCTTGTGTCCTTGTGTCCTCAGGTCTCTACAGATTCAAACAGTCCCAACAGTTTCCTAGAAACAGTTAAAATCATCAGCATCTGAATCAGATTCAGTGAGTTCACACAGACAGACAGAGGCGTCCTGTACACCTGCACAAGGCTGCCAGTCCGGGTTCGGGTCCAGGTGTACCTGCAGGTACGGGTTTTCAGCCTGTTTCTACATGAGAACAGTCAGAGAACTGTAATCAGCTGCACTGATTCCATTCAGCCCTGAGTCCTGTCTGCAGGCCACCCTGTCAGACCCACTTCCTCCAGCAGAACCAGGACTGGGTCCCAGTTAGACCAGTGTGAGCAGATTCAGTGAATTCAGGAAAATGGACTGAGACGTTTCCTGCTGAGAAAATCTTTTTTAATCCAGTCAGGACAGTTGCAGACTGGATCCGACCAGGTTCAGTTCACTTCAGGTTCCTTAGTATTGATGAGGCTGATTCTGGCTGAATGTCGGCACACTCGGCTGAGGTCTGGCACCAGAGAATAAACTGTGTCTTGGCTCTGACAGAGAGTTTTACCTCCAACAGGGAGGTCGTGTTTTCACACATCTTGTCTGTTTGTCTGTTTGTCTGTTTGTTTGTTTGTTTGTTTGTTTGTTTGTTTGTTTGTTTGTTTGTTTGTTAGCAGGATCACACAAAAAGTCCTGAACCGATTTGCACCGAACCTATATCCAAATATATCATCTACTATGATATATTTTGGATATAGATATATATAGATATATAGAAGTCTGGTGCATGTTGTGACACTGGGCTGGCGGAGCTCTGGGTTCTCTAAGTGCTTCTCTACATCTGCAGTTGTTGGTTCAGTTTTGTACTGAGAAGCAGTTGCGGCCCAGTGTCGGCCCCCGGAGTCAGACTGTAGTCAGATGGTTCTGGTCTCTGGTTCATCCCAAGTCACTGAACATGTTGGTTTTGGCTTCCTGGGAAGTTTTTTGGAAAACCAGTTCTGTATCAGGAGAATGACGTGATCCAGATGTGGTCCTGATGTCTCGGATATTTTGTCCTCCTGTAAAAATAATCAGAGTTTATTTGACTGTGGCTCAGTGTCAGAGCTGGTGACTGAGGCTCCACGTGACCGGGCTTTGGTCCACGTCTGGGTCAGTTCAGACTTCGGTGGTTTCGGACTGAATCAGACCAGCGTTAGTTTGGATGGTTCTGGAGGTGAAGGTCTGTGACGATTCATCTGCAGATGAATTAAGTTTATTTCTTTCTCTCGATGCTCACAGAAGAAGTCTCAGTCCTCCGTTGTCAGAATCTGGATCAGAGCTGAAAACCAGCTTCAAAATAAGTTTATGTTTTGAGCTGAGTGAGAACTGGTTCAAGAACTTTATGGTTCAGAGTCCTTTGTTCCTACAGAGGTGAACTTGGACTTGAACTTGGACTTGAACTTGGACTTGGACTTGGACTTGGACTTGGACTTGGACTTGAAACTGAGCTGAACAGATAAAGGGACAGATGAGCAGCTTCATCACAACAGAACAAAACATCAGAGTGAAACCGGAGCAGCTGCAGAGTGAGGGGTCTGGTGTTTGGTGGTTTTGGTGTTTTTAGGGATTTGGGGGGGGGGGGGTCTGTTGTGTCTGGATTCAGACTTTTGTTGTCATTATTGTTGTCATTCATACTAAAGAAGGTTGAGGGTCTGGGGGAGGTTTTTGGGGGATCTGGGGGTTCAGACGTCACGGGGAGTCCTGCTGCCGTCCGTCGTCTGATTTTCTCCTCCCACAGCATCCTCTCAAAGACCAGCTGGGACCAGAACAAGATGGAGGGCAGGGGTGGGGGGTGGGAGTCGGCTGTGACATCGTCGTCTGAATGATGTGATCGGGGGAGGAGGGGGTGAGAGGGTGGGGGAGCCTGGGAAAGTCACCTCGACCAAGTTCAAGTTGAAAAGAGGAGGACGATGCGTTCACTGACCAGAGAGACGTCTCAGTGTCTCAGTGTGTTAACGTCCTAAAGCTTTTATTTTGACAGGATGTTGAATCTGGACTAAACCTTAAACATTGTTTCATGGTCTCTCACAAAACCCTGATCAGGTGTGACTGAACTTACTTTTTTAAACTAACTTTATTTCTAACACATGGAGGATAAATCCTCCTTTAACCACAGAAACAAACAGGACTGAAATGTTGAAATAAGAAAACATGAAGGAAAATACAAACAGAGAAAGTTGAGTCTGTGAAATAATAAATAAAGATCAGAATTAATGATATTCAGACAGAAGTTTATAGTTTCCTGACATTTCTGTACATTTGTGAAATGGAGAAAGTTCATGTTTATGTCTTTACACACAAGGAGGAGATTTAGTGAAACATCATTAATATATAGACTATAGTATTTATTGATGGCGATGATATTAAATTTAAATTCATCAGCTTGTTCTTCATGATGACTCCTGACTGATTTAAAGAGAATAAATCTATATTTATGGATCTGAGTTTCTACATTTATGTGGCTCTGCTGTGGTTTTAAATGCTGCTGCAGCAAGGAATTGTGGGACAGCATGTCTCCTTTCCTTCAGTAAAGGAAGCTCCAGTGTTTCCTAAAGGAGATGAGAGAGGAAGCAGTGAAGCTCCTTTCCTCATGAAGCTGCTCAGAGACTAAAGATCATTTCTCTCAGTCTGAAGCTTCAGGAGAGAAACACACTTCGACTCTTCTGCTCTCTAAAGTTTATTATTATATTTTATCAATCATGTTTTCATGAATGATCCCGTCAGCTCCACCACAGACTCTCAGAGGTCAGAGGTCACCTGAACCTGACACACACCCCCCCACCCCCCTCGCCCCGTCTGTTTGCAGACTCATTCAGTCTGAGTGTGAGGGGGTGGGGCTCTTTAACAGAGCTGTCAGTCAGCTGCTTCTTTGCTGCTCTCCCATGATGCTTTGCTGTCCCTCCTCTTTGTGGTATGTCCTGAGGCTCAGTCAGACTGGGAGACCAGTTCAGCTCCCAGTTCACGATCCAGTACCAGACTCAGTCCTCAGGGATCGTGTTCTTATGTTCTGAAGAAACCTCGTATCTCCATTGATTAAAGACAATACATCATTGATCAGATCTGATCTGATCTGTTGTTTTCTTGTTTCTAATCAACAGTGAAGTGATAATGTGTGTTATTGATTATCACCATCATCATCATCATCACCTCCATCATCATCATCATCATCACCATCCTCTCAGTGAGTATTTCCTGTTTCTTCATCTCAGACACATTTTCACATTTCAACATATGATGATGATTAAAAACAACGACAACAACAACAACAGCAACAACAACAACAACAACACAGAGGAAGAAAGGCAGCAAAAGAACCGGGTCCAATAATAAAGCCAGAAATAAGGAACCATAGCTGACTTAGCTCAGGTTCTGGTCCAGGTTCTGGTCCAGCTCCTTTAAATGTTTGATCTGATATTTAATCAATAATCTAAAGTCAATCAGGCGTTTGCACTTCCTGAACCTCCACATCTCAAACTGCTCCTCCCTCACCTGTCTCCTCCTCTCAGGTGTGGGCGGAGCCTCAGAGCTGGCCTTCCTCAAAGAGCCCAGTGATGTCATTGCGGTGAGGGACCGCCCGCTGATGCTGGACTGTCAGGTAGAGGGGGAGGGGCCCATCTCCATCACCTGGAGGCGGAACGGCATTCCCGTGGCGACCGGTGTCAAGGCGACGGTGCTTGGTAACGGCACGCTGCTCATCAGAAACTTCTCCAAGAGACGAGAAAGCAACGAGACGGACGCAGGAGAATATGACTGCGCCGCCCAGAACCGCTACGGCATGTTGATCAGCCGCAAGGCCCGAGTCCAGCTCGCCTGTGAGTGTCGACATCCTGCAGCTGCTAAACAAACACAAACATAAACAAACAAACAAACACAAACAAACAAACATAAAAATAGAGCATCATGTATTGACCAGTCTCTCCCCCTCTCCTCCCTCTCCCCCCTAGCCCTTCCTAAATTCCTGTCTCACCCAGAGTCTGTTGCTGTGGATGAAGGGGGCGTGGCCAGACTCACCTGTCAGGTAAATGGAATCCCAGAGGCCAATATCACCTGGCAGAGAGACCGACAGCACCTGAGCACAGAGGACCCCAGGTATGTCACTGTCAGGTGTAAGAAGTCAATGTTTACATAGTGACTCAAGGACCACTTACTACACTTTTCTCCTCTGGAGTTTTAACCACAACTCATGGTCTTCATCAGAGGATGGAGATGGATCTGTTGACATCACGTGACCTAAATATGGAACTTCAGTCACATGATAACAGGCACTTGCATACTTAATAAGGTTGTGTTGATGAAGACCATGAGAAATGGTTGAAAGCTCTGGAATAGCCAGTAAACAGACCCTGACTATAATGTGAATTTAACGTGTATCTCTGTGTCGTTCAGGTACACTCTGCTTCCTAACGGCGTCCTGCAGATCACCGGCGTTCGGCGAACAGACGGCGGTTTGTTCCGCTGCGTCGCCTCAAATATCGCTAACACTCGATACAGCCACGAGGCCCAGCTGTCCGTCACCGGTAAGACCAAACCTGGGGCAAAGAGACCCGCAGAGCTTCAGGTCTCTGTCTCAGTGTTGTTGATGTTCTCTGGTTTCTGTGGGTCCAGTTGCAGGATCCAGGATCTACCAGGAGCCCGCCATCCTGTCCGGTCCTCAGAACCTCACCATCAACATCCACCAGACCGCCATCTTGGAGTGCATCGCCACAGGAAATCCTCGCCCCATCGTGTCCTGGAGTCGCCTCGGTAATGACTCCACCATAAACCTCCATCACCTGTACCGCTCACCTGTACCGCTCACCTGTACTGATCACCTTTCTGTCTCTGTCCCTCAGACGGACGGTCCATCGGGGTCGAGGGGATCCAGGTTCTGGGAACAGGGAACCTGATGATCTCTGATGCGACTCTGCAGCATTCAGGAGTTTATGTGTGTTCAGCAAACAGACCAGGAAGCAGGTCCAGGAGGACGGCACTGGGACGACTCGTAGTACAAGGTGACCACACTCATACACAACAACAACAACAACAACAACAACAACAACAACAACAACAACAATAACAACAACACAACAACAACAAAAACAACAACAACAACAACAACAACATCACAGGACGTGTCTCAGGTCTGTGACCTCACTGTGTGAACAGTCAGCGTTCTGTTTTCAGACTGTTTGCTGAACTTGAACTCGAGTGTCGTGTGTGTGTGTGTGTGTGTGTGTGTGTGTGTGTGTGTGTGTGTGTGTGTGTGTGTGTGTGTGTGTGTGTCTCTGCTCATGAATGTCAAGTTCAGCTCAGCTGCTGCTGCTGTCTGACTCTTCACCCCCGACCTCTGACCTGTGGCCTCTGACCCTCTCTGTAAATCAGATGTGTGTGTGTGGTTGTTGGGGGATGGGTGGGGGGGTGTTCAGCTTCTGTCAGGACAAAGAAACAAAGAAAACTGGACACAGCCACAATGAAAAAACAACAACAACAACAACAACAACAACAACGTCAGGGTTGAGTCGCCTCTGACTGTGGCTCTGATACTTTTTCTTTTATATTATTTTCTTGGGAACCAAGAACCTTTAGAACCTTTACATACATTTAGGAACATTTATAAACCTTTAGAGACGTTTATAAACATTAAGGAACCTTTATAAATATTTAGGAGCACATACAGATATTTAGGAACATTTTGGAACCTTTGATCACATTTACAAACACTGAAGAACCTTTAGAACCTTCAGAAGCAAGAACAAAGCTTTAGACAACATTTACCTTCAGTGTTCAGCTCAGACAGATCAGCAGCACCTCTCACCTCTGACCTCTGACCTCCATCACAGGAGACAGGAGGGAGCGATGCATACAGAGATGAGGAGGTGGAGGAGGAGGTCAGGATGTGTTCAGGTTTAATCTCAGACCTGCAGACTGGGCTCAGACCCCTCCCCCCCTCCCCCCCTCCCCCCTCTCCTCCTCCTCGTTTCCTCACCTCCACCTTCATCATCAGTTCACCTTCATCTGTTTCTCTTTGTTCACTTTTCTTCCATCATTCCTTCCTTCTGTTTGCTTTCTATCTCCTCCTCTGTTTCTTCCTCACACTTCCTCACATCTACTCCTCCCCCTCCTCCTCCTCCATCATCCACCTCTCACTTTCTCACAACTCACACAGACTAAAACCATAGAAGAAGAAAAATAAATGTTAGTTTCAATCAGTGAAACATGAAGACCTTCCTCCTCCTTCTCCTCCTCCTCCTCAAGTTCAGGCTATTCTTTCTTCTGAGGGACCAGGACCAGAACCAGAACCAGGACCAGAACCAGGACTGACCTGACTCCTCCCCCTCAAATCATTTTGTTCAGACTGGATGTTTTCATTGATTAATTATCAGAATTCTATCAGTTCATTTTCTGATCCATTGATTCATCGGCTCCTATTTTCAGTAACAAACACTGGGTGCGTTTGTTTCGTCTGCTGCTCGGCCCAGCTGCAGCTCAGTGTGTTAGGGAGGGGTCAGAGGTTAGGGGTCACACAGGCTCATTGTATGTTTGTGTGTGTGTGTGTGTGTGTGTGTTTCCCAGACTCAGAGCTTCATTAGAATATGGATTAGCATGTGAAGAGTCCCACTTCACAATGAGGACTTTATTCAGACTGAGACTCCGTCTGTCACACAGACACGAGTCACCGATGATATTAACAACAGTGAAACTGACGGTGAATAAAACCATGTGAAGTCGTTTAAATGTTTCAGTTCAACAGAATAAAGTCACAGATAGTTTTAATCAGTCCGTGATTTTCATCTAAACAGTTTCATTCAAATATCAAATCTTAAATTTTATTAGAAACTTTATTCTTCACATGTTGAATCTCTGGAGCCATCAGCTTTCATCGTCGTCATCTTCCTCCTCACTGAGTGAAACTGCTTCACACATGAACAACTGACGAGTGTGTGTGTGTGTGTGTGTGTGTGTGTGTTTTGCTCTTGAACTTGATGTGTTGAAGTAGCTGAAGCTACAGAGTGTGTGAAAGGTGAAAGGTCGTCTCTCTTCACAAATCAACTTTATTTCTCTATTAATGAACCCCCCCACCCTTCTTGAATTGATAAATGGCTCCTATTCACCCCCTCCCTCACTCTCTCTCCCCCCTCTGACCTCTGACCCCCCCCTCTTTAACATTTAGAGGGGTAGGGGCGGGGCTTCAGGGGGTTATTTGAGGTGACAGAGACCACATATGTATATGTGGTCTCTGTCACCGTGGAGACGGACTGGGTGGAGGCGAGACAGCACCTGTCTGTCTGACGGAGGACAGAGGGGGGGTCAGAGGTCAAAGTGGAGTTTAGGCACAAAAATGAGTTCAAGTTCATGTTCACACGTTTGAGTTTTCATGAGTAGATGAATTCAAATAAATGTTCAGATAAACATGTAAACAAAGATGTGATATGAACATATATATATACATATATATATGTGAAACTTAATGTATAACAGATGTATAAATATATATGAACATGTAAACATAGATATTTATATATATATATATAACCTTATCAATATTATATCAATGGAATAATTTTGTTTTCAGTTTAATTGTGTTTCATTTTCATTGTGATATCTTTGGAAGAGATTGACTACAAAAGTTTTGAGAAGATATACACTATCTGTCAAGAATAAATCACATTGTCACAATCATTTCATGGAAAGAGGTAAAAAATATTTAATTCCAACTTTATGACCAACAGTATATATAAAACTTAATATATATATAACATATAACCATATAAATACATAAATATATAAACATGTAAACATAGATCTGATATGAACATGTAAATCTATAAATATGTATAAATATGAATAGTAAACATGTAACATACATGTGCAGATGAGATAATAAATGTCTGCTGATTAATACAGGGTGAGATTCTTAAAGTCAACAGTGTCACTGTGAAGGAAAATTTAAATAGAGTTTGTTTGAACGAAGTGTTTAATATCATCCGTAGGACTATGTAAATATCAGAGGCCAAAGTTTTTACTGCTGCTGGAAGATTAAATTTCAAAAACATCAGATATTTTCTATTGACACTGAAACAGTGAGATCAGCTGTTAGTTTGTCTTCTGTCATTAAAGTTATAATGAGATTCTAATCAGATTCAGTTGAGTCACAGTGAAGTTACTGTGTGTGTGTGTGTGTGTGTGTGTGTGTGTGTGTGTGTGTGTGTGTGTGTGTGTGTGTGTGAACCTCTGCTGCTGTCTGCTGGTCTACTGACAGTACTACAGTTATTACAGCTGCTTCTATCATTGGTGGAAAGTAACCAAACATGTGATGGAGTACTGAGGTATCACTGTGAGGCAGTTACTTACTTATGTATGAGAAAAGCTACAGAACTACAAACTAAAAAATATGAAGTAATGTTATATAAAGTATTTGAATTTAGCTCCACCTCACTGTTGATCAAAAATAATGACTAAATAATATAATAATATAAAACTAATCTGTCAGAGGCCATTCTGCCGCCATGACACTTTGATCCATGTGAGACGACGCAAATACAAACAAATATTCACAAATAAGAAGCTGAAAACAGAAAAGAAAACAATGTTTAATCAATAATCAAAACTGTTCCTGGTTCATTTTGTATCAATTGATTGAATTCAGCTCTGATTCTCAAGAACGGCACAGAACAAATATGGAGGAGCAGGTTTTTGAGCTGTAGCGCCTCACAGAGGTCAGAGGTCAAACTGAGGGAATAACGAGTGAAAACAGTCAGAACGAAAGAACAAACTGTTTCTTAATGAAACCATGTGTTTCATAATTCAGGGTCACATGTTTCCTCATGATGACACACCGCTGTATATATCAATACTTTGTCTGCGTCTGTCTTTGTGCAGCTCCTCCAGAGTTCGTGCAGTGGCCTCAGTCTGTCTCCAGACCAGCAGGGGGCAGCGCTGTCTTCAGCTGCACTGCGTCCGGCGTCCCTGAACCTCACCTCATCTGGCTGAAGAACGGCAAACTGCTGACGCCCAGCGGCAACGTCAAACTCACCAACGGAAACACGTAAGAACTTAAAGGCAGAGAGGATTTCTGAACCTGGTTCTTTTTATTGTTTCTTCAACCACTGAAAGTCACATGGTCGAGCAGCAACTCCTGTGTTCTGCAGAGTGAAATGAACAGCTGTTTCTTCTTAAACCAAAAGGATCTTATACTTACTAAATGTCTCTTTGTCTCCCCCTGCAGTACGCTCGCCATCACCCGGATCACGCCCGAGGACGAAGCCATCTATCAGTGCATTGCCGAAAACAGCGCCGGCACAAACCAGGCCAGCGCTCGTCTCGCCATCAGCCAGGGGCCCGAGCTGCCCGAGGCCCCCGTCGGCCTCCAGGCCACGCCCCTCAGCTCCAGCAGCCTGCAGCTGACCTGGGAACAGCCCACAGAGCACGTCAGTCAGCAGATCATTGGATATGTGCTGCACATACGACGACTGGGGGGTGAGAGACTGAGATTACACTGAATGAGATTAAACAAAATCAGATTAGAGGAGAAGAGTCAAAGAGATTACACTGAACAAAAATGAGAAGAAGTGGGATTAGACCAAACAGGACGAGATGAGACTAGATTAAATAAAACCAAATGAGACAAAATGAGATTATCAGAGATGGTGTAACATTACTGAAGATAAAACGAGATTAAATGAATCTGAGAGATTAGATTAGATTAGATTAGATTAGATTAGATTAGATTAGATTAGATTAGATTAGATTAGATTAGATTAGATTAGACTGGACAAAGTGAGTTTATCAAAGACAAGGTCTGATGAGATTAAAGATGATGAAACAGGATTAGATAAAACGAGGCAAGATTAGTGATGACAAGACAACTCAAGATGAGACAAGATATTAGACAAAAGACAGATTAGCAGGATGAGAGAGATTAGACAAAATAAAATGTGGAGCGAGATGAGGTTTAAACCAGATTAGACCAGAGGTGATGAGATTAGATAAACCAAAACAAACAAATGGGATTAGACAAAAGAAGATATGATATTATCTGAGATGAGACAGAATTAAAGAAATTAGATTAGATGAGACAAGATTAAACAAGATAACATGAAATGAGATGAAATAAGATTAATTAGATGAGACAAGGTGATATTAGATTATTGCATTAATATTGGGTGAGACACAAAACACTCTTTTGAGACATCACAAAATCAGATTAGATGAGATGAGACGGGATGAGACAGTGACAAGAAACTAGACTCTTAATGAGATGAGCTGAGATTAAATCAGACAAATGAGATTTACACCAATCACAGAGTGACTGATGCTTGTTTGTGATTGGCTGGAGAGAAAAGTTGGTTCTTTGCACGGTAGGTCACTGCACTGATCGATAAAATACAACCAAGACTGTGACCTTTAACCTTTAACCTGTGACCTGCGTGTCCTCAGAGCCGGACAGTGCAGAGCTGCAGGAGGCCGTCAGTAAAACGACCTTCAGACACGAGTTCAACAACCTGGAAGCAGCCACCACCTACTCCATCTACCTGAAAGCCTACTCTGCTCTGGGAGGCAGCCAGCAGTCCGACACCATCACCGCCACCACGCTGGGAGGAGGTACGGCGTCCGGTCACGTGAAAAGTCATATTCTTCAGGTTTTAGAAAAGATGTCCAAACACATCTGGTCACATATAAAAGACTTCAAAATAAAAGTTTAGTGAAGGAAAAGAAGGATGTTTAAATTTGGTTGAAAATAGAAGATGTTGGGATGACTTCTTCAGGCCGGTGAAACACACCGACAGTAACCAGTCTGTCTCTGTCTCCGTCCCACAGTTCCCAGTTCTCCCAGCTTCTTCACTAAAGTCCTGAACCAGACGGCCATGCAGGTTTACTGGGAGCTGCCCAGTAAGCCGGGGAAGCTGGAGGGCTTTAGACTGGAGTACCGCGGGGTTTCCAGCCCAGATGTCCAGGGGCAGGAGACCTTCCCAGGACACATCAACACCCACACCATCTCCCACCTGGGTCAGTGCAGTTAAAGGGACAGTACAACATTTCAATGGGAACATCCCCCCTGCTGTCGATCTTTGTGCTAAGCTAGGCTAACACTTTCCCTCTGCTTCCAGTCTTTGTGCTAAGCTAACCCTTCCTGTAATGATATGTAAAGAACAGATACTAAATACAGTGGTGTAATAGTTCATTATAAACCAGTTATTACATGTTTGTGTATTGATTATAGATTATCTGATTTTGAAATCTGAAACTGAAGTTATCCTGTAAAATCTTTCAGAATAAGAGCGTGGTGTTTCAGTGTGACTCTGTTTCCTTCCTGCAGAACCAGCTGCAGTCTACGAGATCCAGCTGGTGGCGTTCAACGGGAACGGAGACAGTCCGTCCAATCGCCGCCTGGTGTCTCTGGCAGAGGGAGGAAACACTGCACCAGGTAGGACCTCTGACCTCTGACCTCTGACCCCTCCACTGAAACCAGTGGAACCAGTCTGATGTGTTATCTCTGTGTCCCTCAGCTGGTTCGAGCTGTAACTGTGACCAGTCTGACGGTTCAATGTCCACTCTGCTGGTCGGTGTTCACAGCGGCCTCGCCTGCATCCTCTGCTGTTTGCTCTTCATCCTGCTGGGATACAGACGCAGGTAAGACCTTCATCATCATCATCATCATCATCATCATAGTCGTCGTCATCATCGTTATCATCATCATCATCGTCATCATCGTCATCGTCATCATCATCATCATCATCATCATCATCATCATCATAATCCTCACTTTGCTCTGTGTTCAGTTTGTTCTGCAGGAAGGCAGCGAGCTGGGAGGCTCCGCCCACCCTCAATGGTGTCAGAGGTCTCAAAGGTCACACATCTGAGAACATTGAGCTCAGCCAGGTAACACTCTCTCTCACACACACACACACACACACACACACACACACACACACACACACACATACACACACACACACACACACACTGCGGTGACACAGCTGATTCTAACACCTCTCTTGATTATGACCCGTCACCTGCTTCCATTCACCCTGGTTTCCATGGCGACCTACATTATTCCTGCTGCTGTTGAACCTGTTGTACTTTGGTCGACTGTCATCATCTCTTTAGTCTTCACCTCTGTTGTCACTGACGTGCACTGTTACCATGGATACAGGTGTTGTTTACCTGTTGTATAGCAGACTGTACCAGCTGACAGTGTTACAGCAGCTCCTGTTCTGTCATGGTTCAGCTTCAGACCAGCACAGTCATTATTATTGTTGTTTAACAGTTCACCTGTCTGCTCCGCCCACAGAGATGTGACTCCACCCCTCCTCCAGTGATGGTCATGGTTGAACCCGCTCCACCCGTCAGACCCGGCACAGGCACTGGATAAAACACCATAAATGCTACTACCCCCACCTCCCTCCTCCTCCTCCTCCTCCTCCTCTGAACTCCAGCCTGGCGTCTCCTCCTCTCCTCCTGACAGCCTTACAGCCACTTCAGCCTTTATGAATGAGTGAGATTAGATGATTGAGATGAAGATGATGATGATGAATCTGATACCACAGGGACCAGTCCAGACTGAAACCAAAGCTGCATCCTGATTGGATCTTAAAGACAAACCACCGGTCACATGACTGCGGCTGGTTTCCGTGTGGTATCAGGTTCTGGTGTCGCCGCTGTGGCGTCCCGGACGGTCGCTGTTAAAACCAAAACCTTTTTCTTCAGTTTGGGTCATTTTGAGTTTGTCACCATCGGTGCCGAGTTTCCTGAGACGATGAGGCCTTCTGCCGGTCTGACCAGAACCGGGTCCTCAGAGGATCACTGTGGTTTATTTGACCCCCCCCACCCCGAGTAGGTAGTGGGTCGAACCTCTGAGGCCCAGAGCCAAATGTTTGTCTGGTCGGCCGGCGTCTGCTCTGCTTTAGCCTTTTAGTGTTTGTTTGTCTCACAGAGTTCACCTCAGGTCAGGATGTAGAGGAGGCCCACAGTCAGCTGGTTGTTCTCCTCCCTCCCTCCCCCCCTCCCTCTCTCCCTCCCCCGGCTCCTCCACCAAACTCTGCACCTCCAAAGAGAGCTACCTTGGGCTCGACACCAAACGCCTGGACCGCAGGCGACCGTTAGCCTCCTGCTGCTGGTCAAGCTAACCTACCTCAAACCAAAAGGCTCCTCCAGAGCCACTTTACCATTCTCTACCTGTTTTGTACCAATGCCGACGTCCTGCCCCCGACCGTCACCGAGAAACCCTGGAACTCTGAATGTTGCTCGTCTGAACCCCCTCCCTCCCGTCCATGGTCGTCCTCCTCAGGGAGAAGCTCTCAGCTCTTTGACTTGTCCTGACACTTCCTGTCTGACTCCAACAGCTTCCTCCAGTGCTGCGTCAAGGGCCCAAAAAGCTTTTCCAACTTAGTCCAGATACCTGTCTGTCCTCCACAGCAGAGTTACCTCCATAAGATCCACTTTCATCATGGCCATGTTGTAGCTCATTAAGTCCAGGACCTGATCCACATCCACGGACCCTTTGGTTTTCTGACGTCCTGTATTCAGGGCTGTGCAACTTCCCTGCTGGTTGAACCTACAGAGTCTGGGTCCTGAAGCTCACTGGAGATGCTGGAGAATGACCTTTGACCTGAGCTGCAGAGGAGATGTAACTGACAGAAGTCTGTGCGTCACTGCTGGTCGTCATGGAGACGCCTCCTCCTCTGCAGACGTCTCACCTCCACCTGAGAGGAAACGACGAGGACTTGAGTCGACACACAGGTGGACCAGGAAAGTCTGGACTCTGACGTCTCCGCTCTTTTCTGTTCCTAGTTTTAATGAACGCTTTGATGTTTTATTTTTGCGGAGTTAGCCAGTTCCTGTCACCTGCCTGCAGGTGTGTTCAGCCTCGTCAGCCATGTTTGAATTATCCTCATGACCTGTTGTTTTATAACGTCTGACATGAATTGCTGATCTTTAGACACGAGCTGAACGACGTCCAAAGACAAAAACAGTTTCCACCAGTTTCTTTTCTGTTTGTTCTCACTTCCTGTTCCGCAGGTGAAGAACAAACTTTCACTTCCTGTCCCGCAGGTGAAGAACAAACTCAACCAAAAGAAGCTTTTTATATTTCAGATGAACACTGTGGAAGAAGAAGTGAATTTATATTTTCATATATTGTAACAGGAAGATTAACGAGTCATAAACCAAATGAGTGAATGATGTGAACACGTTGACCAAAAGCTCCGTAATTCTTCTGATTCGTTACCTCAGAGCCACAGTCTGTGTTCAGTTTGTGGTTGAATGTCTTTACAGCTTCTGTCTCTGCTTCTGACACTGACCCCGAGACCCCGAGACCCTGAGGACTCTGAGTCCTTCAGATATTTCCTGTTGAAACCTATGAAACCTTTTAATATTTAGTCCCACTGAGTTAAAATGAGTCCAGCTGATCTGCAGGACGGAGGACCTGATTAAACAGCTTGCATCAGTCTCCGGTGGATCACAGTATAGAAACAAATTTTACTTCCATCGTCTGAGTCCAGACTTTGTCACCAGAACGCCAACGAGTCAAGTTGCATCAAGTTTATTCGAGTTCTGTTGAGTCCTGCTGTCCTCAGGGTCAATGGTCAAAGGTCACTGTCAGGTGGGAGCTCCTCGCTGCCTTCCTCTCCGCTCTGTAATGAGCCGAGTGATTTAAAAATATAAAAGCAGAACAAACTAAATGTTTTTATAAAGTTGTTGATGATTTTGTTCTATTTCAAGAACTTTCTTCTTTCAGTTCGTATTTTTCCGTTGCTGCCGTTCGGTGGTGAAGAGGAAATTCTGCCAAAATGAAAACCTGTAAAGAAGACCATTTTAATTTTTTATTATTATTGCTAATAATATTATAATTATTACCATTTACCCCCCCCCCAGTTCGCTTTCTGTTTTGTTGACTTTTCCCGATTCTTTTTGTTGGTAGTTGAATGATGTGAAAATGTTTCTAGAAGATGAGAAAAGTTGTGTTTCCAGCTGAAGGTAGAGAACGTTTTACAGTGGACAAAGCCATGGTTAATAATAAGCCATACATGTGATACCTGAGCCATATGTTACGCAGCTGTTCAGAGTTATTTTATATAAAAACCTGATGATTTTATCCTGTTGTTGGTTTAAACTCAAACTACCTCCAGCTGTCGACGCGCTGTAGAAACTAAAACTAAATGTAGAGATGTAGTGAACCAAGGCTAGAACCAATGAGAAGAGTGATGCTTTAATGTTACTGATTTCTTTTCTCTCAAAACATTTTATTTTAAATAATGTGTCGTAAATTTTCCCCAAAGCTTTAAACTGCTTTTAAAAAGAACAGAACAGATGGAGGACGACAGAGAAAAACAGATTCACACCTCTGTCCTTCTGCTGACACCAAATACTTACATTTAGGAAAAAGATTTTTAATTAAGTTTGGTCGCTACCATCTTTAACGTGCTGAGCTTCGCGCTGTGTGTTGGGATGAACCTGTAGTCTCTGAGCTTCACCACCTGTCTGTTCGTCTGATGAGTCGACACATGAAACCAAATAAAAATAAAGTAGAAAACAGAGTCTGCTGCTCGTTTATTCTGTCGAACTGAACTCTCTCTCTTTACGATCGAACACTGAATGTTTGTCCAGACAACAGCTGATCAGTGTTTTATCCTCCGCTCGTCATCTCATTAGTTTGTCTTTCAAAGAACTGATGATTCAGCTCGTTATCACTTCATCTGCATTAATTCATGATAATTGGTTGATTGATCAGCTGACGTGTTTTAAGTTCTTATTTCCTCAGCTGTCGGTCTGGTCTGTCTTTGAACTTCTGCCTCTCATCCCGTCCAGCACCTGTGTCCTCACTCCTTCATTCTGATTCTTTTATTTGTCTAAAAACACAAACACGAGTAAATAAACTGGTCTCAGATCAGAAACCAGATCATGATGTAATGTTTTTAGTTTCATTATTTCACTTGATCATTAATCTCCATCTGATGTGAGTTTATAAACAATGATGATCGTTGGCAGAAATGTCTCGTTAGTCATCAGTCATCTGAGTGAGTGAGTGAGTGAGTGAGTGAGTGACTGAATGACTGAGTGAGTGAGTGAATAACTGAGTAATTGTCTAACTTAGTGAGTGAGTGAGTGACTGACTGAGTGAATGTGTGAGTGAGTGACTGAGTGAATTACTGAATGACTGTCAGAGTGACCGACTGAATAACTGAGTGAATGAATTACTGAGTGACTGAGTGAATTACTGAGTAACTGAATGACTGACTCAGTGAGTGACTAAGTGAGTTAGTGACTGACTGAAACCAGCTGACACTAGGCTTGATGATGATAGGACGAGATGATGTCATGAATGATGTCATGAATATGATAATTAATGTATTATGTCATCTAGTTCATTACGTCCTCAATCACTGATCACAATCACACACACAGTCCAGACAGGCTCCTGGTTTGGACCTGGTCTGGTTAGTTTCAGAGGTCAGATGAACTCAGAGAAAGAGATTTTCTTCTTCAGTTCAGAGACACGGATGAAGAACAGACTTTACTGAGTCGGTTTAAACACGACCGACAAACTCCTCAAGTTTTAAACTGACACAAGAAAAATCACATCAAACTAAAACCTGTTAAACTTTAACTTTAATTAAACTGAACTCAGATCACAAAGTTTCACATCTTCATTTGTGTGGATTGGTCAGTGTCTGCGTAGTCCTGGCCTCTGATTGGTCAGTGTCAGTCTCCTGCCGGCTTTCTGGGGGCCGGGTCCGACTCCTGCTCCCCGCTGTGAGGATCCTGTCTGGCGGACAGTCGGTCCAGAGATCGTGGCGAGGCGTCAGCGCCGGTCGTAGTCCGGCGGCAGCAGGCAGCGAGGTCGGCCCTGAAGGACGGAGTGTAGAAACCATAGATGACGGGGTCACAGCAGGTGTTCAAGTTCCCGAACACAAAGAGGGCGTGGTGAACGTACTCAGGTGTGACACGCAGCATGTCGGGCTGGAACCAGTACCAGATCCCCAGCAGGTAGTACGGAGTCCAGCACACCACGAAGGACAGCACGATGACCACCGTCATCTTCAGAGTCTTCATCCGAGCCTTCGGGATGATGTCAGTGCCGCTGCGACGCAGGTACGACTCACCTGCTGAGAGAGGGAGGAACTACCTCAGTGATCTGGACAGGTGTGCAGGTATCCAGGTGTTGTACAGGTGTGTCACAGGTGTTTGTTACCTTTTTCCCTCTGGTGTTGCTGGTGGATGTGCACCAGTATCCGACTGTAGCAGCAGCTCATCACCAGCAGGGGGACGACGTACAGCGTGGTGAAGTGGAACATGTTGTAAACCGTCTCCTGCCAGCGGCGCCTGAAGCTGCCGTGAGTCGCACACTGAGTGAAATCTACGCCCTCCACCCTGATCGCCCTGAAGATGAAGAGCTGGACACAGACGGAGACAGGTGAGACAGAGACAGTCCCACTGCTACCTGAGGACAGGTGAGGTTTGGCCTCAGTCAGTCTGAGGGGACGATGGTTTCAGCAGCTGTTGTTACAATCAGTTACTAACACGACAAATCCTGATGTCACGCAGTGATCAGACATGAAGCTGAAGACCAGTGGTGTGTCACATGGTCACATGGTCACATACTCCAAACTGCAGTGAGAAGGTGTTTGATGTTCAGGTGTGATGAGGTGAGCAGATATTCACTGTATTAAAACATCCGTTCTCCAGCTGAACCAAACCAAACTAAACCTACCCAAACTGGACTGAACCGAACCAAAGAGGACTCTGACGTGAAGTGGACTCTAATGATCAGAGTCCACTTCACGTCAGGGTTTTGTGTAGTCAAACTAGCTCAGTCAAACTGACGTCTGTTTGTTTCAGCTGTTTTCCAGCTTGTAGCTTCTTAGCGTTACTAGCATTCCTTATAGAAACCAAGGGGAGCAGTTAGCCCGAGCTAACAGCAGGAGGTTTTGCACATTTAATCTCTCCATCAGAAACCACAACATTCCTGCAGGGATTAATGTTCAGGTTTGACTGAGGGTTTACTGCAGGAGCTGCTGTGAACTGAGAACCTTCACCTGGACCAGAGGAACCTGCAGCTGGACTGTAAACAGTAGTTATGATCATCTGGTCATCAACTGTTCTTCATCACGCCATCCTCAGGTTAACCTGACTCCGCCCCTCACTGCGAACCCAGCTCATCTGATAAATATTAATGTTAGAGGCGGAGTGACGATGAAACAGTCAGTCTGTTCACAGCATCTGAGGAAACCAGACAGATTCTTCTTCTTCTCAACATGTGCCCACACACAACCAATCACAGCAGAGAGTTTACCTGCAGCCAATCAGAGCTCAGATTCTGGAGCTGTTACTTGTGTTAAATGTGATACTGTCAGAAAGCTGCTCTGTGATTGGTCCGAGAGGAGACTCAGGTGAAACAACCTGTGGTGACTTTTTTGTCACCCCATGTCCACATGTGGTGATGTGTCACCTGTGCTGACGTGTTACCTATGCTGATGTGTTACCTGTGCTGCCATGTTACCTGTGCATACGTGTTACCTGTGCTGATATCTACCTGTGGTGACGCCAGCAGCACGCTGAGGCTCCAGGCCAGCAGCAGCATGCGTCGGTTCCTGCAGTGCGCGCTCAGAGCGTCCAGTGGGTGCAGGATGGCGTGCTGTCGGTCGAGGCTGATGACGACGAGGATGAAGGCAGAGGCGTGCATGGCGAACAGCTTGAGGAAACAGAGCAGCTTACAGAGCGCGTCTCCTCCATACCACTGCACTGTCACGTTCCACACAGCGTCCAGAGGCATCACCACAAACGTCATCATCAGGTCGGCCGACGCCAGGCTCAGCATCAGCGGTCGCAAGTGAGATGCCAGCCGACGGCCACGCCCACGCCACACGCTGGCCAATAGGGCCAGGTTACTGCAGGCCGCGAACAGGAAGAGGACCAAGGTGGCTCCAACACGGAACTGAGCAGCACGGGTGAAACTGGGAGCCTCCCAGTCTGTGAGAGGAGGGTACTGGGAGGTGTTGGGAAGGGGCAGGGCTGCGGAGCTGGTGGGTGGAGCCAGTGATGACAACCTCAGGATGGACCAGTTACCTGACATCCTGCAGAGAAGGAGAGGGAGGAGGTCAGGTGAGATTCCAGACTGGGGTTTGATTATAGGACAGTTGATTCTGATTATTAATTCAATGGTTCCCAACCTTTTCCAACTCAAGGACACTTCCCCCACCCACATCTGACCCTGTAACAATATGGAGGCCCAATAATGACTCCTTACAGCATTTTTATTTTAATGATATTGATCAAACATTGGCTTATAACAGTGATAGTCATTAATAGTTACCAGTTAATAATTATTTTCACTAAAATTATACATGCAAATTGTTCAAATTGTTGTTAAATTGTTTTGCAAATTATTTCACGGTCCACTTGCAATACATTCACGGCCCATCAGTGGGCCCTGGCCCACGGGTTGGGAACCACTGTGCTAATTGTTCATCATTCGTTCTGCAGAGACTTCCTCCCTGAACCTTTTAAAATGACTTTAACTGTTCAGTTCAGCTGTAACTTCAGGTCTTTGTCACCTGGTCGACAAACACCATATCTGAACATATTGTCAAGTTTTTAAAAGTGTCCTGCAGTGATGTCCATCACACACACACACACACACACACGTCAACAAATCAAACACTGAACATTTACAAATATGAGTACCCAGTGTGTGACTCCCCCAGCACTGTTCAGTGTTTGTGGAGTTTCAAGGCGAAATTAAACAAATCAATAGAATCAACGTTTGTGTTTATGCAGACGACACCCTGGTTTCCCTCCCACTGAGTCTTCCTGCAGGTCCACAGAATAAACCAGTGACTGAACACTGCTGTTTCCATGAGTCTGGATTCTGAGTAAGACTTTACCCTCAATACAAAATGTACCAGTGGGATTAAAAAGATCCAGTTTGTGTAACAGGTGAATGTGTTGTAGGTTGATCGTAGGTGTGTAACGCTCACAGAGACGTCAGTCGTCCTCACTGCTGAGGGACTGTGGTGTTTTGCTGTAATAGAGAACAGTAGCGTCTCAGGTGTCCTCACTGAGAGACGCTGTTGTCAGGTCACGACCTGGTTACAGCTTCAGCATCTCACATTGTAAAATCATCATCTATCTACAACATCTACTTGTCCTCTGACCCCTCAGATTTATCTTGTGACCCCCTGAGAGGTCCTAGTCCTCAGGTTGAGAACCACACCAGCAGACACAGAGATAGTTAACAGGATCTGCAGGTTTCTGTTTGACTGAAGCAGAATCACCTGCTGCACTCTGATTGGACGCCTACTGTCTATCTACCTGCTAACAGTCCATCAGCTCTTATTGTGACGGAGACTTCCTGTCCGTCTCTTCTGATTAAAGATCACAGATAAGAGTCTCGTTAAAGCACAAACACTCTGTGGAGAACCTGAGGGGTTACCATGGTAACTGATTCACATCGACCAATGAGGAGTCAGCTGACAGTGACTCAGACCAGGACCTGAACTGTTTCACCTGTTCAGGTTTTAAATCAGACCTTGCCACAGAGTTCTTCAACATCATCATCGTCAGTTATTATTATCCTCAGCAGGATATAAAGTGAAGAATCAGTAACTGTAACGCAGTGATCTCACATCCTCAAAGTATTTCTACACTGTGGTGTTAGTATTAGAACTTCAAAGTAAAAGACCCGAGTACTTCCTCCACTGAACATATAGTTTCTTTCTGTATCATCCTGTCACATTGTTATATAATATTATATAGTTATATTCATTCATCTACTGAATACAACAAAACACCATCCATATTAATATTGATGTGATATTGATGATTCTGAAATTAACACACACACATTCACACACACACTGAGCCTGCTGCCAAAAATAACTGCAGATGCATTGTGCTGTAACCTGACCTGTGTGTGTGTGTGTGTGTGTGTTCATGATGTCACCTTGGTAACCTCCACCTCTTTCTCTGCAGATCAGAAACCTACAAGGCTGCAGGCCCCTCCTCTTGCATCTGATTGGCTGGAGCAAGGAAAACTAATTAAACTGATGTCGAATCCTAACCTCTAGCTAACCTCCTGCTAACTTTGTGCTAACCTCCTGCTAACCTTGAGCTAAACTCTTGCTAGCCTCCTGCTAACCTTCTGCTAACCTCCAGATAACCTCCTGCTAGCCTCCTGCTAACCTTGAGTTAACTGTTCCTGTACTAACATGAACCCTACCAGACCAGATCCAGGTCTCTGCAGCACTGAGACTCTGGACTAAACCTTGTCTTTACGTCGCTCTGATTAAAATCCCCGACCAGATTCATTCACATGTTGAGTTTAAACTCAACACTTCATTGACTGAGAGGCTGAATTCCTTTACAAAATTCACCTTATATAGAGGGACAGGTAAATCCTGAACCTGCACTGACACAGACGGACACTGACATCACAGGAAGACGTGAAACAAAATGTCAGACTGTTCCTTTAACCTGGACGAAGCCTGTCCTCACCAACCGAGCAGCAACCATCCTACAAGAACCTCACATTGGGACTGTATTTGTGCTAAGCTAAACTAGCTTTTCCCCTTTGTGCTAAGCTAAGCTAACCAGCTGCTGGCTGTAGATTCAAACTTTCATCGTTCACGTTTTGACATCAGTGAAAAGTATTGTAATGTTGTGACGTCACAGTGACCAGGACTGAACACTGATCCTGGTTCAAGACCAGGAGGCATTTGACTTAGTTTCCATCGTTCTTGTTCAGGGATTAGAGATTAAAGTTGTTGTCATGCAGAGCAGTCCCTTAGTGTTAACGCTCAGAGTGAAACAAAACATATTTATATTATTTATTTATGTCGTTTTTATACAGTTATTATATTTAATAATCCGCTTCCTCACAGATGATTTCAACCTGTTTCCTGTAGAATCTAAACACAGTCATTGACAGGCTTTTATTGTGAAAGGATAAGTGTTTTTACCTGAATCTTTTCTCCTCCTCAGGTCAGACTCTTCTGTTCTCCTCTGCTCCTCATATTCTCCCCTCACTGCAACACAACAGCAGCACACACAGAGAGAACCCAGAAGAACCTGCAGAACCCAGATCAGTTCAGGGTCCTGTCCACAGCCGCAGCAGCTCTGATCTGAAACACTGAGCAGACTGAAGACGACTGCAGCAGGAGGAGGAGCTCTGTGTGTGTGTGTGTGTGTGTGTGTGTGGAGCTGCTTCATCAGCAGAATCAGCCTGTGATGAATTAAACATCAGTCTGAGTGTTTCTACTGAAAACATCTGGATCCACAGCAGGAAGTTTAAATCTGCTGAGTTGTTGAACAGGTGTGTTGTTGTACAGTTCTGTTGTTGTACAGGTGTGTTGCCGGCATCTCACTCCTCAGGTAAACAAAGCTTCAGTGTTGTCATGATTTTATTTCACAGATCTATCAGTCCTTTATTGATAGACTTTTGTGACTCTATCTCCACAGTTCATTCGGTTGTACACAGGTACCGACTGATTGATTGATTGATGGATAGATCCTTTAGGTTTAGGTTCATTTAAACAATATAACAAAACTGAAACACAAGGGTTCAAACTGCTATAAATACATGCTGTACATTCATTAATCATAAGCACATGATCGTCATCACACCTGGACGTACAGGTGTGCACAGTATCAGTCTCTGCAGGTCTCTGTGAAGTGGATTGGACCTTTACTGAGATGACCGGGTTTCCATGGAAACCACAGACCAGTCCCAGCGATCATAAATATGTAATCAATAGACGATGAAGGACATGATCAGCTGCAGGTGAGTGCAGATCCAAACTGATGTGGACTTCCTCTCTGACTCTACATCAGGGCACAGAACCGAGACCTCCACCTGCCCACAGGGGGAGTCGCCTCTCTGACGTCACCTGGACTGGTGGGTACGGCCTCGGTCTCCCGGACCAATGAGGTTTCACTGCAAGAAAACAACGGCCAATCAGTTTTAGTGATGTCTTTTATTTGAATACAGTTTGTTGTGATTTGATTGACAGGTGAGTTACCTGTCAGTGTGAGGGTTCTCTCTGTCCGACCACAGCTCACTGTGCTGCAGCTGGTCTGACTGGTACGAACTGGAAACAGAGACAAATGTTCATGTTCACCTGCAGATCAGATTTATTGATCACTGATCAATATGTTCTTGATAAAAAATGAAATAAACGACAAACTTCAGAGACTTGACATTTTACTGTATTACCTGTACGGTGCAGGTGCCATGTATTCAGGTACTTCAGTGTCTCTGCCCTCTGCTGACCCACAATGCTCTGCTGCTTCCTGTCTACCTGTGGCCTCTGCTCCTGCTTGCATACTGATGGTTAGTGTTTGATCCAATACAAGAATAATATGTTGTTACCACGGCAACACCGCTTGTTGTTCTTTTGAAACTCACCTGGCTCCTTCCCCCGCTGCTCATCTTGCTGCTGGTTGGCTGCCCTGCGTGGACTCTGTGTGATGTCAGACTTCCTGTGAGGAAGGTGAAGACACAGAGATGTGTGAAACCACCAAGAGGTGTGAATGTTGTTGGTGACTGGAGACAAAGTGAGAGCTGATTGGCTGCTACCTAACACATTGTTCGACAGGTGAGCTGTGTGGGTGTGGCCTGGCTGGGCGTGGTCCTCGTGGACGTGGTCTCTGCATTGTAAAAACAGTCAGAGGGCAATAAAGACGTGGTCACATGTGATGTGGTATTGTGATTGGTCGGAGGTGTGATGTGGTGTTGTGGTCATGTGACCAGACCTGCAGGCCAATGCTCAGACTCTGCTGCAGTGTTGCAGTCAGTCGCTCCACCAGACGATCGCCAACACGACCAGAACCGTCCTGAAAACAAAACATAAACAACATTTAGAAACATCACGTCTTTTATATCTGACAGGTGAAAGAACAGGAAGTGTTCTGTGATTGGTTTGTGATGTTGGTGATGTAACCTGTTGGTTTGTTTACAGCCTGTCTGGTGGTCTGATGCTCCTTCTTATTAGTTCTTCTGACTGACAGAAATGATGGACACTGTGAACAGGTGAGGGAGAACATGCAGGTGTGTTGTTACCTGGCAGTGAGACAGAGCACTCAGAGCCTGTTTGTAGAGCTGAACAGCTTTCTGCTGCTTCCTCTGCTTCAGGTAACACTCCGCTAACGACTCACACACCTGAGCCTGAGCCAGGTGGTCTTCTGCAGACAAACAGACAGGTAGAGGCAGGTATGATCTCATAAACATTACTGAACGGTCACTGTTGTTACCTGATGTTACCTGTGTCTCTGAATCCCTGCAGAGCGTGGATGAAGCTCTCTGCTGCCTCCTCTTCATCACCCAGCTGACTGCAGGCAAACGCCAGGTTACTGAAGCACCGAGCCTGGTCACCTCGGCAACCTAGAGAGCCTGCGCGCGCACACACACACACGCACGCACGCACGCACACACACACACACACACACACGTATATCATCACTTCATAGTATGAATGTATGAACTTATAAACATTACACTTTTTATAATTGTTGAAGGTTGATTGACAGGTGTGACAGGTGTGTGTCAGACCATAGAGTCCAGCGGCCTGCCTGTGGTAGCCCACAGCAGGTGTGAACTGTCCAACAGAGTTCAGAGCAGCTCCCAGGTTGTGCAGCACCTTGGCCAGCAGGGGGGGCCACTGAGCCGCAGGACCCAGAGCCTGCTGGAAACACTGCACCGCCTCTTCGAAACACCTGAGCCAGCAGTAAGACACGCCCACGGACAGGTAAAGCTCACCTGGACCACAGCGGGAGGTAGACAGATTAACCAATCAATCAATTAATGAATCGGTCAGATGATCTGTTTCATAAAGGTGATTACCCAGAGTCCTTGGGTCGGTGATGCTGTCTGTCAAACTCAGACACTTTGTCAGCACGCCGATAATGTCATCATGGCTGAACTGATCTGATTGAATCATGTAATTTCCCGCCTCTTTCAAAGCAGCAGCTGCAGAATCCAACATGGCTGCCACTCTGTAACTCTCTGCTGCTCGCAGGAAACCCTGAACTGCCAGAGACCAGTCCTACAACACACACACACCTGTCACCTGACACATCTGTCACCTGACACACCTATTCCAGCTCTGGTTCAGGTTCTGGTCCAGGTCCTGGTTCTGACCTGTGTTCTGCTGTAGCAGCGGCTCATCTCCATGCAGGCGTCTCCCTCGCTGCCTCCGTCTCCCTGCGATCTGTACAGCTGAGCAGCCTGCAGGAAGTGGGCGGCGGCCTCTTGACTCTGTCCTAGTGCATTGTGGGCCAGTGCGAGGTTGAACTGGAGGTCTGGGAGCCGGTCGGCCTTCGGACCGGGGTGAGCCCGCTGCAGGAAGTCCAGACCTTTCTGAGGTCTCCCCACCTCCACATAGGCTGCTCCCAGGTTAAAGGAACAGGCTCGGAGGACCCGGGAGTCCTGCAGCTGAGGGGAGCAGAGCATGATGGGAAATGTAGTAGATACAGCAACAAGGGTTTTATGACTTTTATGACTTATGTCATATGACATGTTTGTGACCTCTGACCACAGCGCCTCACCTGTTCTGCAGCCTTCAGGGCGTCTCTAAAGCAGCTCAGAGCGTCTCCTGTCCGTCCCTCCTGCAGAGCTCGATGACCAGCAGACGTTAACTCCTCGATGTCCACCGTCTGAACCTCTGACACCGCTGAGGCCTTCGTCCTCACCTTCTGCTCCTTCCTCTTCCTCTTCACTTTTACCTCCTTCTCACCTGCTGTGGACGCATCAGACGCCATGATGGATGTGAGAGAGACTCACCTGGACTGAGGAGACAGAAACACACAAACCTCCTCTTAAAGAACAGCCAATATTCAATCAATCAACAAATCTGATCAATTTAATCATTTTACTTGAATCAAAAGATTTAAATTGAATATGGAGTGAAGTTAAATTGTATTTTATTTCATTAAAAGTGAAAATGAAACAGGACGAGCAGCTGTTTTCAGTGTTTAAATGTTTTTACCGGATTAATTACAAAACTTAAATATTTTATGTTTATTTTGGAGGAGACACAGTCACTTTGTTTCAAACTGATTTATTTTGGAAAACCTTCTGTAGATGTGTTTTTGTCAGTTGGAGGAAGGTAAATCTAAAACTGACACTGCCCTCTGCTGGACACACGGACACATGGACACACGGCCCTCTGTGTGATGGTTTCAGCAACATCAGAGACACAGTCTTTGTTCGTGCTGAGGTTGACTAATAACAGAGTCTCATTTAAAACCTGTTTCACATTCACTCTGACAGATATGAGTGAAGAGCAGCAGGGATGATAATAATATAATTATAATATAAATAGAATAATGATATTATTAATTAATCATTAAACACTGGTCCTGGAGAAGCAGCAGAAAAATGAATGGATGGATGAATCAGTTAATATTTTATAACTAACACGACTGTCTGCAGGCCAGAGAAAGATCTATGACTTTGTAAATGACGTCAGTGTTTTTCAAAACGTCTCAGGACCTGGACTGTGGAAAGGGAAGATACAGGAACTGATCTGGTCTCTGGGGGGGCTTTCTCTTCATCTTGGTGTTTGATTTGTTGTTCTGATGGTTTCTGTTTGATTTTTATGTGACTGATGCCACTGACCTGAAGACCAGACTCCTGGCTCACAACATACAATTATATTAAATTACATATGAAATTGTTTGTCAGTCAGATCTGGTCCTCTCCACCACCTCTACTCTGTTACAGTACATTACATTACCAACAATGTACAGCTTCTTTTCTATTAATTAGATCTATATTTAATAGTATTCTTTATTTAGACTGTTTAGTTACTGTTTATTATTCAGCCTTTAACTGAATCGTTTTTTATTTATATATTGATATATATATCGCGGATAAATGAACAGCTGTCACTGACACTGTTATTACAGCTGTACACACGTCAGCTGCTACTGCTAATGTTCCCCCTGACAGGTACTGACACTGCTCACCTGAAGCCAACAGGTAACACGAGCACTCACAGTCCGCAGGTGAAGATTAAGCTCGTCCATCCTGAGCGGGAAAATGTTCACAAGTTAAACTTCAGCTGTCACTAATAAACCGATACGATCTGCGGAGAAGCAGCTAACAAATACCTCCACCTGCTAATGCAGTTTGACTCGGTTTCTATGGTAATACAGAACAGACGGTGGGGAGTAATTAAAACAATAAAGTTTAACTGTGTAATAAGTAATTAAAGGTAAGGACGTGTAATATCTAATGAGATTTTTAAAATGTTCTTTTAAAGTAAAGTTTTCGTGGGCGTTTGTTTTACTTTAGACAGGAAACTACACGGACCACAATCCAATGCGAAAAGGTTCCAGCCAATCGGAAGAGCGCTTGACCGGCTGACCAATCAGAGAGCCGCGGGAGCTTTCAAACTTCGGACAGGAAGCAGCTCGCGGACAGCAGGGGACGGTTTGAGGCTTCAAACCGAGACTCGAGATTATTCTTCACCGGCAGATTTTAAGAGAGAGAGTTTCGGTCACCGAGAGGATTAAAACCGAGTTTAACCAAAGGACGCGAAAACACGGAGCTAATAGCTAACGGCTAACGGCTAACATGGCCGATTCAGCTTCACAGAACCGCTGTGAGTTTCTTTAAACCTTGAGCCTCCCTCCTCTGTTAATTCATGTGTTTGTTTACATGTTTTATTCACGTCTTTGTTTACATGTTTATTCACGAGTTTATTCGTGTGTGTGTTTACGAGTTTATTCACATGGTTCAAGAATGAAACATGTCTTACTCGTGTCATAAACCTTACACATGAAGCTGCCGGTTTCATCCGTGAACTGTTCAGAGAAACTTTCACAGCAAGTTCAGTTTGTTTTATTTGTGGAGAAACAGATTTTGAAGTATTCATGATCCAGATGATTATGTGATCCAGATTATTATCTGATCCAGATGATTATGTGATCCAGATTATTATCTTCTCCAGATTCTTATCTGATCTCAGCACCATAAATATGTCTGAGAAACCGACCGAAGTGTTGAAAAATGTTCTATCTGACATGTTGAGGAAAGTAATCCTCTGTAACTGGATCAGAACCAACATTTGTCCTATCCCTCCACCCAGTCTGGGTCAAAGCGGTTCAGTACTTTGTGTGTAATCCCGGACTGAACCTGATCTCCATGGTAACAAACCTCTGACTGTAACATTCCTCTGATGATTGTTAATTTATTGACATGTTTCACGTTTGTTTGTCTATTTTTCCTTTTTAATAAAGTTTTACACATTTTATTCCTGGATGTTTGATTCATATTACATCAGATCCATTATTTTGATTACTGATTAGTGTTATGATTATTTTTGACACCGATTGTTTTGTGTGTGTTCTAAGGAGATGACTTCATGTTGTTTTATTGGAGCAGTTCCATGACACGTGTGTGTGTGTTAACAGAGTGTGTCTCTGTGTGTGCAGATGAGCGTCTGACAGCAGAGCAGATGGATGAGCAGAGGATCCAGAACGTGGCCTACCAGTACCTGTGCAGGTTGGAGGAGGCCAAGAGGTGAGCGGGATTTAGTTTGAGTCTGTCCTGGTCATGGTGGACTGGAATATCATCAAACATCCTCCTGACTCTGATGTGATCCAGCTGTTGTCATGGATACGTCTTTGTGTTTCCATCACCGTGATGACAGACAGGCCTTGATGGAGGCAGCTTTCTAACATCAAACACGACACACTTCTTTGTTTCCTGCTCAGGTGGATGGAGGCGTGTCTGGGGGAGGAGCTTCCTTCTCCCACGGAGCTGGAGGAGGCGCTGAGGAACGGAGTCGTTCTCGCTAAACTGGGTCATCGATTTGCTCCCAACGTCGTCCCCCTGAAGAAGATCTACGACCCCGAGCAGCACCGATACCAGGTCACACAGACACACAGACATACAACACCACATGACATGACATGTGACTCTATCAATACTCAGCTGTGTCAATAATCAGTAATCAGTAGTCTCGAGTCAATAATCAATACTCAGCTGTATCAATAATCACTAATCAGCTATGTCTTGATGTCAATCAATAATCAGCTTTGTCGCCATGTGTCATTAATCAATAATCAGCTGTGTCTCCATGTGTCTATAATCAATAATCAGCTGTGTGTCCATGTTTTCAGGCTGTGGGTCTTCAGTTCCGTCACACCGACAACATCAACCACTGGAGGAACGCCATGACGACCTTAGGACTGCCGACGGTTAGTGAACAGAGCGATTGATCAGATGATCGGTTTGAGTTCGGAATGATCAGCTGTTGTTGTTGTTTTCAGATCTTCCATCCAGAAACTACAGACGTGTACGACAAGAAGAACATGCCCCGAGCCGTGTACTGCATCCACGCACTCAGGTGTGTTCAGCTGTCTGTTTACCTGTTCACCTGTCCAATGGTCAATACACCGGTCAATACACACATCTGTTCATCTGTTTACCTGTCTGTTTACCTGTCTATTAATCTGTTCACCTGTCTCCCTGCAGCCTTTATCTCTACAGACTGGGTTTGGCTCCACAGATCCACGACCTCTACGGGAAAGTCAAGTTTACTGGTAAATAACACACTTCCTTCCTTCCTTTACTCTTCTTCTTCTCTGTTTATTCAAACTGAAATGTTTCACCTTGATGTGACTTTTATTGTGAAGGTGACTTCCTCTTTGACAGTGTACACTGTTGTTGTTACTGTGTGTGTCCAGAGGAGGAGATCAACAACATGAAGCTGGAGCTTGATAAATACGGGATCCAGATGCCGGCGTTCAACAAGATCGGAGGAATCCTGGCCAATGAGCTGTCAGTGGACGAAGCTGCAGGTAGAGAGAACCCCTCTGATTGGCCGAGAGCCTCTTCAGTCAGTCCCTACAGAAAAAGACGCAGTCCTCAGTCTCAAACTGTCCCCTGTCTCCCTCTCACATCAGTACATGCAGCGGTGATAGCCATCAACGAGGCGGTGGACAGAGGGGACGTTGGCGTCATGGCGGGGGCTCTGAGGAATCCTAACGCCATGCTGAGCGACCTGCAGGAGGCGCTGATGAGCGTCTACCACCAGATGCTGCATCAGGCTAAGAGAGGGAAAGCTCAACATGCAGCCGGCAGGGTGAGAGTCTGCTCTGATTGGTTGGTTTGTCTGTCCTATTAAACTGTCATGAGATGGATGTTTCACGTATGTGTGTGTCTGTGTGTGTGTGTGTGTGTCTGTGTGTGTGTCTGTGTGTGTGTCTGTGTGTGTGTCTGTGTGTGTGTGTGTGTGTGTGTGTGTGTGTGTGTGTGTGTGTGTGTGTGTGTGTGTGTGTGTGTGTGTGTGTGTGTGTGTGTGTGTGTGTGTGTGTGTGTGCGCGCGCAGTGTGGAGGTTCAGAGGAGAAGGAC